CAAAAAAAAAGAGGAAAAAAGGGGGGGGGGGGGGGGGGGGCCTCGAAAACGTCAGCAACAAGGGGGCACAACTGGAGCAGCTGCCGCATGATACACAGCAATTGTGTTGCAGCAAAGGCTGCCCTTGCCCTTGCCACGAAATCGCTTGGGTGTGTGCCCAAATTGTGGCTCTGGACCCCCTGGTATCAACACACGAAAAAATCGGCATGCAGTACTTTGGATGGATGGAGACCATACGATTGAAACTCTTGCCTGAACATCACGATCGTTCCCTCGGGTTTGAAGGCCGGGAAACTTCGGTGGTTGTCGATCTGCACCAAGTTGGGCTCCTCGCCGAACACCGAACCAGATATGGAGTGCGTCTGCATTCAAGGGAGAGTTAAATGAAACATGAGTGCGGGATAAACCGGATGTTCGAAGCGCGAACTGATGCTGGAAGCGTACGTATTCTCCTCAACAGGGGTGACGCACATGTACCGGTACTAACGGACAACAAGAGAACGCGCCGTCGTCCTAAAAAAGCTGCAATGGCGGGCAGCGCAAGTAGACCGCCTACAGTCATGACAAAATAGGAAGACACAACACAAAAATGTAGCAGGATCAACTTGTGTTTGCAATGTTTGCACACGCACCTCTCCGTCTTCCAGCGTGATATCTACGGTGATTACGTTGGTGTAGGGAGAGTTGACCAGGACGGCGTGGATCTGTATGGAACAACAGAGCACGACATGGCAAGCAGAATCATACAACATTTACGTTTTAAGGTCAACACTTACATCTATTGACAAGGCTGACCCAACTATAAAAAGGCGTGTGACTCGCACTCATTCCTAAATCTACACAGCAGTACACGGCACACAGTAGAGAACGATCGACCATTTTGTCGCGAGACTGGGTCGTTTTCAAGATTTCCACCCGATTAGACACGAGTGTGCCCCATCCTACTCATGGTAGGTCTGTTCCCACGACATCGCCAACACCAGTCGCTCTAGCACTTAAGCACCGATCAACGTCCCACCATTCCCAGAGCAACATGAGTGACGCTACTTCTCGGCCGGCTTGAAACTGTGGGGTGTTGGTGATCAACATCGTCGTGGTCATCGTCATCGTCCGAGGCTTGGTGCTCACCTTGTCGTCGATGCTTGTTTCGATGCCCATTTCCTTAGACAGGAAAGGCGAGTTGATCAAGCTGGGCGCTGTTTTGCATTCCTTGGTGTACTGCAGAAGCCCCTTCATGACGGTGGCCAAAATCACCTGCCGAGCAGAATTCGCCTCGATGTTCGCGGCTTTGCCACCATACGTTCGGAGACCCACCTTGACCACCTAAGGGAGTAAGTACACACCAGTTGCAATGATCGCGTCAAAAGCTTATCCAGAAAATCGTGGGAACGGTTGGGGGACGTTTATCGGAGGGCTGAAAGGCTACAATAATATTTTCATCAACCGTAGTTCGGTAGAGCTGCCGGTTCACGTCAAGGCAGTGTCACACGCTGCGCACCTTGCTAGAACTGATCTGCGCTTGCATCTTGCCTATACGCTCTGCGAGGATCATGTACGGTTGCATCGCGGGCTGAACAAGCGCGGCGCGGCAAAGCAATCGCGAGAGGGGCAAAGGGAGAAGGGACGGAACGAGGAAGGGAATAGATATGAGGTGGGAGGTGGGGAGGCACGGAATGACCGAATCAGTACCAGTCAAGGGGTGAGATTCCGTTGGAGTATTGGAAAGGATTCCTCAAGTGCAGGTGTATGCTTTTGAGCATCCGCCACATCGCCGCAAATAAGCGTTCGTTTTTATTTGCATGTTTCTCCTGATCCAAAACGTAGGTCAGGGGTGCAGGGCTAAGGTGCACCAGGGCCCTGTGGGGAAAACGAACGGTCTCAGCGTCTCTCTCGCAAAGCACTGCACTACACTACACGTCTGCTGCCGTCCGGGTGTTGCGATCTCTCATCCTAGTCAACTCGAACGGTGGAGGTTTTACTTGCAGCAATATGATATCCTAGTGAACACATCAGTGTAGACAACGTTGCACTCATGATCAGGAGACGTTTCATTGCCTGGTGCGCCACTTTTGCGCACCTTCAAACTTCAACCCCCACGTTCGAGTACCTTCAAACCTCGAAACTCGCTTGGTGAGCACGCAATTCGAGTCCAAGCAATTGTCTATCTTATCACTGGTGGCAAATTGGCAATGTCCGCACCTCGTTGGCGACGGCCATGTATGACACATTTACCACGCCGGTGTAGGCCTTGCCCTCAAGGGTGTCGCACATTTGCACCGCCACATCTCGCGCCACGTTTACCTGCACGAGTTCGCGGTCAGAGTCAACCAAAACACCGCGTGATACTTCAACAAAACCAGATCATTTTGAACGCCTTCTGGCGCTGTACCAACAGCAGTACAGGAACCCTACCGACAAAAATGAGTCACAAATACATCACGTACCAGGAGGCATCGACCCTCTAGATAACGATACTCTGCCACGTTGGACATGTTTCCTTCGTGATTCAGCGAAGCACTCTTCCATCGTCTCAGTCTTGCGCATTCTACACTATCGCCTTAGCAGCCACCATGTGACAAGGTTCATCTGCTCTTCATACGCATGCACTACCACGTAAGATGAGCGTAGATCCCAAAAGCAATGATAAGCGAAGTCACCACGTGCAAGGCCCGCTGCGTGTTTGCCAACAAGCCTGGCATGGTGTTATGGTGTCACCTGCGCTTCCTCCGTAGAAGCCCCGAGGTGAGGTGTGCAGACGAGTCTGGGGTGCTGTAGCAACTCCCGCGACGACTCCGGAGGGGGCTCGGAGCTGTACACGTCCAGAGCGGCCGATGCCACCTATTGCAGGATTACAGCAGAAGCACACGTACAAGTGTGAAGGAGTCAAATCCATCAATCAAGAACGGAAGTCAAGCGCGCCAAAGTGGAGCGATGCATGCCACACAACACGGACACGACATGGTTCGCCAGGATCGTCCTCCGATGCATACAACCATGTTTGCGTATATCGTGAAGGCACTTTGCCTTAGCACTGCTGCCATGCCTTCACCAGTTGCAAATAGGTGACATTGCTTCTGCTACCATCCAGGGCCTCACCTTGCCGGAGTTGAGCGCCTTGAGAAGGGCATCCTCGTTGATAATGCCTCCACGGGCACAGTTGACGATGATTACGCCATCCTTCATCTGGTCCCAGAATCAAAGAGTGTACCAACAGTCAGCTCGCGCAGATTCCGTAACATGTTTTCCCATCCACCACCAGGGTTGGCTATCGCAGTAGTGCCAGTCTACTCTTTTTAGTACACGTGTGTCGCTTAGAAAGGGAAGAACGCAAAACAAGACGAAAATGAAGGCAAACAAACACGAAGTCTCTCCGTACGACCAATCGTATACCATGGTGAATACCATACTTCGAAGTATGTCCACTATAATAGTTTACCAGACGACAATGAGATCAATTTTATGGCCCGGGTTGCGGCGCGTATCACAAAACAACACAGCACAACACAACACAACACATTACACATTACACATCACAACATATCCCGGCTACAGCACTCTACCACTTAAACGAATCTCAGTTCTCGTCATCAACGGAGGTCTGTCCAAAACGGTGGAATAAAAGAAGCTCACCTGGGCGATGGATTCATCGTTGACAAGGTCCTGAGTATCGGGTGTGAGGGGCGTGTGCAGAGTAATGAAATCCGCCTTAGCCCAGACATCGGGCAGGTCCATCAGCTGAATACCAAGCTCCGCAGCCGCGTCCTTGGGAAGGGCAGGGTCGAAACCGATAACTTCCATGCTGCAAAAGATACACCACGTTGGCGGCAAGGTGTGGTGTAGACGGCACGCCAATAGGTTGCAGTATAGTATATCAACGGGTCAAATTCCAATACAAACGCTTGTTGACTTCACGCAACCTAGGCAATCAATTTGAGGTAGACGTGCCCCCGAAAAATAGTACAGCAGTGACGTATATGGAAAATGGAAGTGGTCTGGGCGTCACGTTCAGGACAAGAATCAGCAAGTAAAACCAAGACGGCTTCAAGAGAGGCTTTTCGTATTTGCACACCGAATCCCCTTCGAGTCGACACAAGCATATCTTTATCTTCGAGAGGACTCTTCGCAAACAGTCACAGCCTTGCCGTGTTTGTTTGGCAAAACTAGCTTGGTTATCACTGTGAACAGTTTCACTAATAGTTTCAATGGTATCAAATTTGGGGAAACAGTCAATCCAGTTCCATCCAAAACAACCCTCCAAAACCGTGCAAGCAGCAAGTCCGGTGAGGCGTGCCTACATACCGTAAGTAGAGTACACTCACTCGAAGCCCTGCGCCCATTTGGCCACCATCTGCCCGATCCTCCCACACCCGACGATCGCAATCGTCTTGCCCTTCAGCTCCTGCCCCATGAACTTCTTCCTCTCCCACTTGCCAGCCTTCATGGAGATGTCCGCTTCAGGGATCCTCCTGTTGTCGTGGACATGGATAAGTGGACATGTCGTCATGGATACGTGGTCGTCGCTTAGGTCCGTGTGAGGCAGGCGATCGACGCATGGCGTACATCTGCGACACATGAAAATCGCACACCCAAGGCCGTGAAGACCAATCTACAAGTGTCGTGTCCAGTGTAGCGTAGGTCTTAAACGACCCTTTGAGGACGGCCAAGTAAGTTCGTGATAATGGTATCGTCCGCAGGACCACCGAATCGCGATCCCAATATAATTAGTATCCGGACAATACATTTATGTACATCAACTCGGCTTAGAGGGTTTCGAGCTCTCACACACTGCCTCAGGGATGCCAGGTGCATGCAGTATCTTGTTGCAAAGGCCCGCACTCTGAGCCCCAGCTGAAAAAATGGCGAGACCACACAAACGTAGCTGTAACCTCAGGTCAAACGATTGCCGAACTGCTCGGCGTTTCTCCAAAATACTGTATCACAGAAATAAATGGAACGACGTCCTTGCCTGGCTGCTGAACAGAGCAGAGAGATGGCCAGCTGGGCCGTCGAAACGGTGTTCCCCCCGGGGGTGTTCATGACCAGCACCCCCTTTCGCGTGGCCTCCGCAACGTCAATGTTGTCGATGCCCACGCCTGCGCGGCCGATGACCTTCATGTTAGTCGCCTTGGCCAGGAGATCAGGGGTGGCCTATGTGATAAAAGAGCGCCGGTGCGGTTTAGTGGAAGGTTAAGGTAAATTTGGCTGTTCGATTCGTTGATTAAAGGCACAACATTCGCCACATCGACCAGCACACAGGTCAGTCGGGCAGTCCTTCAGTGAGTGAAATGCGAAACATCGTGTCTGTCGAAGTGCCAGCCCGCCAGTACATTGGACAGCACATACATTCATTCTAAATGGTTCTTCGAGCGATCGAAGCGTGCCACCTGTAGCCCTTTGTCACAACCACATAACCAGCCACAGGTGCACACCGTATGGTGAATTAAATAATTATCAGGCAGAGCATGGAACCACAAATGGCTCACACTTGTCCTCATATTTTTATCTTCTGTGGTGTGCATGGTACTCAACCTTCTTGGTACCTTGAAGAATTTCCTTCCTCACCTTGGTGGCGGAGCGAATGACCATGCCATCGTAGTTGCCGATGATACCGTGAAGCTGCTCCACGGAAAGCTTGTTCTTCACGTCGGCGTGGTGACCCCGCTCTTGGAATATGTCCACGCAAACCTGCTCAGCAGTACATCCGATGGACAGGGCAGCACGGCCCTTGCTGTAAACCCAAGGTACGCGGTGTGCAAAGACATAGACATAGACGTGGACATAGGCATAGACATAGTGTAGATAGATATAGACGAGACGATACGATACGAGACGACATCACACAATATGCATTCCGAGTTAACTACAGTGAGCTCTCCTTAACCCCACTAGCTGTGCTTTTGCGGCACTCTGGACAACAGGGTTTTGACTCTCGAAAGCAATAGCTCGAAAAACTTCTATTCGCGCGTGCCGTACAAATACGTGCAGCACTTCCTAATAACGCTGAGAACAGTAAGTACAAATACTTTCAAGCAATGCAACAGACGATCTTGTTCCAAAGGCAATTCCACGAACCGGGTCGATGTTGTCCAGGCAGAGGATGCGAGCAGCGCGGGGAGCAGCCGCATGGAACGCCCGGCGACCGGCCAGCCCCAGCTTGGACAGAGACATGGGTGAAGACTCTCTTCTCTCCCTTTCTGCAGCATGAAGTTGCCAAGAGCAAGTGGGATTACAACACTGCAACACTGCAAGGCGTGTGTGTCCGCTAACAGGCATTCCACACGGACATCATTTCGTTCACTAGTACAGCAGTTGGGGGTCTTCATGTAGTGAAGGTACCGAATATACGTGTATGCCCGACCATCAGTAAAGCACACCTAAAACCAACCTGGAAATATTCAGGGCCGACGGCACTCATGCAAGTAGTCCCGACAACGGCACTACTGTATCGAGGTTCTGACATGCCTCACAGGTATGCATTCATGTTTCCACAAACGTGAAAGTAGTTGATTGTCGAGAGCATCCCCCTGCAGCTATCATAGTGGGTCCTTCAGATCAATTTCATGAATGATCGACTGTGGGTATATCTCGAATGGGTAGACTTTCTGTGTGTGTTTTTATTTGCACGTGGGGGGGGGTGCTGGGTGTTGGGCGTCACATGGACGGGCGTCGGGGAACACACAGCTATTTATCAGTGATGCCAGAGGTGCTAACCACAAAAACACTGCATAAGTACAAATATCACAAGAAACTCCCCTGAAGTCTTGTATCTACAGAACACAGAACCGCAATATGGGTCAACGAAACAAAATCTCCCGGGAAGAAACCCTTGGTTGTTGCCGTAGGGAGGCAAGTACAAGTTGCTGTCCAAGTTGATGTTCAAATACAAATACACATCTTCTACGGACGCGAACGATGGCATGATCACAGCAATCCCCTGGACACAGCAAAGCCGATTGTCTTGCTGTATATAGTGGGGCACGAAACAGGCACCGCTCACTGCAGTAACAATGTTGTTGTTGGTGGTGGTGGTGGTGGTGCTGCTGCTGCTGCTGCAACGCGCCAAACAGAGGTGAAGCGGCCAGGACAGCCACATGAATCGAGGAACAGCAGGCGCGTCATCGCTGGCAACAGGTAAGAACGACACAGGTTCCCCTTGTCATTACTCAACCTTGCTTGCAGCGGGACGGTCCAGCCATCTTCACGGGAGGGTTATAGGCTTCCCAACCGCCCTGGCCAAACGCCCTTGTATTTTAGCGTACAGCACTGCTGTAGTTGTCACGGCTCACGTCACGCCTATCTACAAGTAGCCATCTCCTCTTGGTGCAGCCCGGTCGTCTCTCCGATGATTGCACAGCTTCATTTTGGTCCTGAGCACATGTTCCATTTTGCAAGCAGGAATCAGAGGCGGTCACCCGGCACAGCCTTCTCACCTTGTTCGTTCTATTGTTTCGTGCGCAAATCCCGGAACAAACGTAGCCGGCCACAACTCAGGACAATGCCAGCGTGTTCAGATGATGGGTATGTTACACACAGCAGTATGGTCGAGGGAGGTTGGAAGGGGGGGCTCACAAACAAAAATCCGAAGGTATGGCTCTTTATTTTAAAAAACATGTTCCCTCACCAGAGTGCGACACACACACCACCGCACGTCACACTCTGTACTGCTCTGTACAGCGCAATTACATCCTGCATCCTACACCGCCTCTGTTATCTCTCTTCGAGATGAGCAGGCCTCATGGGATTTTCCGAGTCTTTGCAGCAGGCAGACGAGCTCTTTCGACGATGCTGCAGCAGCAGGCGAGTACGTGATGCATCAGCAGTACAGACCCACAATAATTTGGACTTGTTATGTACAGCAGCTTCAAACTTTCAAACGTCAGTACCCGATATTTTGTCGTTGACCCAGTAGAGAACTACAGGGGATGTATTGTAAAATGTAAGTTACCTATACAGATGTTTTTGTACTTAGCACCAGCTGGCATCACTGGTATAAATCATCAGTGTATAGACCTAAAAAGACTCGAAATAAGTCCAGTACCCAGCCGGTTTCCCTCCACTCACTGAAAAGACTCCACCACATCCCGTTCGACTGTGGGTATATCTCGAATGGGTAGTCTTTCTGTGTGTGTTTTTATTATTCCTTCATAAGTACTACTACGCATTACAAGTATTCTACCGCAGTACTCGTACTGAAAAGCTGCATCATTCGAAACAAATTATTATTCCTTAAAACAAAATGCACGTCACTACCCGGTACAGTATCCTCGATACAAGTACTTGTACAACAGAGGGAGGAGGTGTGAGGTTTGCCGCCCCGCCAGCACAGGCAAAACCCTCGTATATAGTCGAGGTTTTCTGCGCGTGCGTATTGTTTTGTTTTGTTTTCCGTCCCATCTTCGGTGCACACTACACGTTTGTCGCGTATGTGAACTTACACTTCAACTTGCTAGACGCACCGTTCGGGGTCACACAGGAGGGGGTACCCACGCCGGCGTTTTTTCTTTTATCTTCTTTTGTCCCCACCTACCTCCTGCGGTGCCTGCCTGAGATATTTTTATCGCGAGAAGGTTCAGCAATCCCTTCCCCCGCGACGGTTTAGTCGATGTCGTTAATGAAGTCGATCAGTTTACTAACAACGAGCTTTGCAGCGGGTCGCTTCCAACTTGACCAGGATTTATTTATCGAGAAAAAACTCACTATGCCGGGACTCAAACCCATGACCTGGCCATCAGCAGGCTGCGAGGATACCCACTAGACCACCGGGGCGACCTGTTGTGTGGTACACTGTTTACTGTGCGGCTGCCATTCACCACCCGAGGACTCGTCTTATACATGATATGCATGTATGCACATGTAGCGACACGTGGTTTGGTGAGATTAAATGAAGGAAACAAATTGGTACGGAAATGTAACAGCAATCCATGACACACGATTGATGAATTACTTCGTAGTCTAGAGTTCCGATGTACCCCACGCCATGTCCGAGCCGAAAGGTGCAGAGGTGTTTCGTCCCATCGATTCTGGCGCCAGTCTGCACGTTCGGCATATGCGTCTCACACCAGCCGAGGTCACGCAAGAGAAAGGTAAAACACTGGAGGTAATATTTTTTCTCCACTTCCCCCCTGCGATGCTCGGTTCACTGGGGAGTGTGTTCATTTTTTGAACACGCGCAGGAAGCGTTAAGCAGATCCATCGCTCAAGTTGTGGTTACTCGCACTATCTGTGCATGCACTTACCGACTTTTTTCAATTTTTTACTCCCGAGAGATTCGAACCGGCGACCCAGAGCTCCAAAACGAACACAATTGGAGCTGCAACGTGGTCGAGATCTCCGCCAAGTTTCGACCCGGCACGTCATGTTGGTAGAGTCTTTCCTAAGAACTTACAGTGCGACGAGAGGCCCTCCGTTCTGGGGGGGTGGGGAGCGTACTCTTATGTTTTGCATGCCTTAGCGGTTAGACCATTGACCACGCGTCCTCGAGAGGACGGAGCATTGTTCCCACAGGACCGATCACCGATGGCCAATCGTTCCTTCCTACTTTGCCAAAGGTGGCTCAAAAATGTCTTCCCTAGTCTGTCTATCCTAACGATATCCCTTCCCGCCTTTTCAAACCACTTCCTACTCCCCAGTACAGCTACCGTCCTCTCCTCTCTAGTCCATGCCTCTAATATCTCCCTGTACGTCCCTTGTATTTTTCCCAGCTCAGTCATGTACACTTCCCTCTCCTCTTCGTACCACGGACATTCCGCGACTACATGAACACGGTCTTCGCACTCGAAGCCGCAATCACATTTGAACTTGTCGTCTTCGTCGTCTACCGTCCTATGTCTTCGTCGACGTTCTCGAAGGCCTTTGTCCCCGGTCCTGAATTTGACCTTAAGCTTGTCCCTGCATCCATTGGTCCATGTAGGTAGTCCTTGAACCCTATTTCTTCTTTCAACATTCCGTACACTTCTAGACCTGGGGGGGTGGGGGTGACATCATTGAACCCTCCGCAAGCCGCTTCCAGCGACAATGTTTACCATCACATGCATGCCCTTATGAAAGTTTTTGCTCGTCTATTGCAGGAATATCGGTACGACACCATGCTCACATCAGGCTCGGTGCTGGCAGAAAGTCAGGGCGCCCCAGAGATCAGAGAGGCACTTGAGGAGGGGTTGAGGCTGCAGTGGTCTTTCGGCTTTCCCTACACGCCGAAGGTGAATGCTTCGAGTTTCGCTGCTTTTCTTTCTTATGACTCTCGAGACGATCGTCAGAGTTGTCAAGAGTTTAAAGGCTGACGCGACACACTCAACGAAGCGACTCCAAGATGCATGAAAAAGGATGCCTGTCACCATTCACTCTTGTATCGAAGAATGGATGTTTGACGGCGCTTCCACGTAGACAAGGGAAGATCATGAGCCGCCCGCGAGGCCAAGTTTAGATTACCCGTCGCTCTTTGGCCAACGTATTGTGAGGCTCTACCCGTAAACGATATGAACTGATTTGCCCATGCTTCTCCGCCATGCTTTCCCATACTTCCCCTGATACACGTACACAGGAATTACCTGTTCTTACTAATGCATTTTTCCCGTATCCGGCGGGCATGCAGCCTGCTACGGCGCATCATCTTCTAGAGACCGTATTGACGGGAAGATCTGTACTAGGTGAGAGACATGAGAATATTTTGCCGCGCAAATGGCCAGCATGGTAGTTGCCCTACTGAAAAGGCTTCCTGATCTCCTCCATGCAGGCGTCGTGGCCAAGATTGCGTTGATAGGCACTCACCATTCACAGCAGGTACACTGGAGCAGCATAATTTACACCCGATTACGTATTCACCAGTATCGGTTCCACCTTCCAGGGTCCTGCCATAGGATGATCAAGTCCTGTATCCACCTGGCGCGTTCTGGTTCGTACTGTGATGCCTTTGCCATACACTCATGCCTGTATAAACACCAATTGTCCGCGTTGCGTCTTGCGTACAGATCCCTTCGTCGGCGGCGGTACGGTGATTGTTGAAGCTCTGCGCGCTGGTCGCCTCGGGGTTGGGTCGGATGTCTCACCCTTGAGTCTGCTCGTGTCAAGAGGGAGAACTTGGATTGCGTCTGACAGTCAGTTGGAGGAGCTACGCGAGGTACGCCATGCGATCGATGTCGCCCGTTAAAGCTCCGCTTTCCCCGTGTGGCTTCTTCAGGTTGCATGAGAAGACTTCAATGCCCCGCACGTGCCCCAATGGGTAGCTTTTGTTTGCCAACTTGTTCGGCCCGTAGTGTGGCACATTACCGAATATTTTGACATGACCTTGGACGAATCCGGGGGGCGAGCGCCATGGGTCGCTTACGGTTGGGTATAAATGGGGGTTCTCCCCGACACGACAACGTTTTTTATTTTATGGTGAACTTGCTTCCCATTCCCCACCCCCCTCCTGGACTGCGGCGAAGGCCGTGCGGTCTGTTTGCGAAGCTGCTGCGGCTAAGCTTGGAGAGACGCACACCCGCCAGGTATCCGGCAAGGACTGGGATTGTATCGAGTCCGAGATTGCCAACTACTTGGCCAGGTCCAAGGATGGGGTGAAGGATGAGCTAAGGGATGCGCTGTGGTTCGTCTTGGCGGTGGCGCGGCCGAAAGCAGCAACGAAGCGGCGGCGTGGCGTTGAACATGTCGTAGCTTGGGAAGTTTTTCACTCGGTAAGGCCCATTTATTTTATGAGATTTGCGGGGGGGGGGGGCGGGGTCAACACCATGTTTGCAACCATCTACTGTGGCTCGAAAACGTTTGTTTGGGGAAAAATGTGCAGATCTGGGCAACGCTCGGTGGCAATCCAAGAGAAGCTTCAGTGTGCATGTCGTATTTTCAGGCTCGCAAAAACAAACAGCACCCTCCTTTGGGGATGCTGCTGAGAGCAAGAAAACGTGAATCGCCACGCCATTGCAGCAGTGGGTGTCCCGGTGCCCCTTTCTGGCCGCCTCTAGAGCTTCACTTCGAATTTGAATGAATTTTGCCCCCGCTGCTGACTACGAGGTGTGTTGAAAGGTGCGGGCAAGTTGAGGTGGTGTACAATTTGCCCTTGGCAGCCCGAGTGCCTACTACTACCTGTTCGCCTTTGACCCATTTTACATTTAAACATGGATACCTGGCGCCACGACTGCACCTTCTCTCTAACAGGTATGCAGGGAGTACACGATTGCGGTCAAGAATTTGGCTAGTGCCGCCACGGCAGGTGCCGCGCCTTGTCTGCCTCAGACGCCCGTCATCCTTCGTAGGGATGCTCGCCACCCTTTACCTCTGGTTGTTGACGTCGGAGTCGGAGGGAAGGAGAACGCCGGTGGTGGCGGTTTGGAAAACTTGGCGGCGTGCTTCAAGCCGAAGGCTCCCGTTGGCGGTGACGAGCACAATTCCAACAGCTTGGTCGTCGATGCCGTTCTCACTTCACCCCCTTACCCCGGCGTGTACGATTATCTCGCTCACGCTCGTCAAGTGAGATCTGTGATGGGCCGCCTCGGGAGTACAGAACAGAGCCGTTCTATGCATAGGACGTCCATTTTTTCCAACAGTCGCGTACCCACAGGGCGGAATTGGGCTGACGAGTGGGTCATCGGAGAGATCGGTTCGAAACGAAAGATAAGAAGAGACAGAAAAAGGGAGGCTTATTCCGGAGGCTCCGGAGACGTAAGCACCCGCAGGGAGGATAACTGGGAAAAAGACCAAAAAGACTGGATTCTTGCAACCACAAACGCTTTGAGAGTGGGGGGGCGCATTGGCATTATGCTCGGTGACGGTGATGAGGTTGACACAAGGTCGAGTTTGTTGCGCACAGTGGAGGTGTTGCGAACACAGGAGGGGGGTGCAGTTTTAGACGTTCTGGGTTGGGCGACTTTCAGGTCAGCAGCCGGTGCGAGAAGGCGCATGCGGACCGAGCATATTATTTTGTTGGAGAAACTATGAGTGTTGTTATGCCCCATGTATATGGGGGGGCGAAAAAGATCACCACAGTTCATATTGGGACGTCGAGACGTCTTGTCCTTTTGGTCCATTTTGGCGAGAGCGTTGATGAAAATGTGCGCGACAAGTTAATACACGCAGCGCCCAACGCCGTTGACGCCAAGCGTGCAAGCCTCTAGCAAGACTGTGGGCAAGGTTATGAGTTTTCTGTCTATAAACAAGACCGTAGTGACGTGGGGCGGTCGTTCAACTGCGTGCCGCGCCAAGGAGGATGCGTCACGTGTTATTTGCAGGAAACGATTGAGCTGCTTGCTCAAAACGACAGCAGGAACAACAGGCCACGCATTCGCTCGCCGCGGTTGACGCGGGGGCAGGGCGCAGTACTAAAACGGTATCCCATGAACGCATCTCCCAAGAGATCCAATGCGCAATGCCAACACCCAGTGCCAAAGCTTGTCCCATTGACAAACATCGTAATTGCATCCAGTACGCAACCACAAACAGGCATCGGCCCCTTTCGTTTCGCATCACATGCGCGAGCTAGCAGAGCCTGTTCGAAGTCCTTGGGATTTGACCGCTCCGTCCGATCTCCCCGCCGAACGCCCCACTCGCCCCCGGAAGGGCGTCTCCTTTCTGATTCTCGCCCTAGACTCGATTGATTCCACAGCAGCCTCCGATGGTTAGAACTGAATTACAGGCGGATACACAAACCGAGCGAAACGTGAGGCGTCAGCGTTTCGTGTAGACAGTAGTACGGCCGCAACTTGAGTACACCTGTACATCGCCTGCAACTCTCGACGGTAACAAGGTGGGTGCCGACATGTATGTGGCAAACCACTACCTTTCCAAGGAAAATCATCTGGTCAGGGTTTACTCGGGGAAGGATTAGAGCAGTTGTCCGGCTATTTGGCCTTTAAAATGGATTGGAGTTGGTCCTTGTAAGCGTATGCTGAGTTACGAAAAGGTGTACAGGGTGAGTGGTCCCAACGCGGTGTACGGTATGTTGGTCCACGCTAAAATGACACATATTGGTACCAGTAGACAACACCAGTTCGGAAAAAAAATCGTGAAAGTGCGTGCGACTTCTCATCCCCATCTACACCCTACAGCAAGGGGGGCGTTAATCCCTTGCTATTTCGTAACAAAGCAAAATTGGAAACCACTGCAGTCCTGCTTCGGCGCGTTCAAATGTCGCCAAACTCAAAGGACACCATGCACACATCATTAGACAACATCGTGAGACATGACATGACATGATGTCACGAAAGAGGCCTGTACAAAAGCGTCGCATATTTTGTGATAGAGTTCGACGAAGCACCTATGATACACTCCAAAAGTTCCGGAGCACATGCTGCAGAGACTACCGTATACGACACAACATAACACACCCCCTGGACCGATTTCAAAGCTCGATTTGTCAACAGCGAAAAGAGTGGGGGTGCGGAAAACGGCGGCGTTGAAGCCGTCTGGTCGAGAGCTCTCCGAAAACGTATCGTTTCGTTTAGGCCTCCTCTTCCGTCGTGGAGTAATCGAGCTTTGAGTATCGGCCCAGGGGGTGTGTTGTCTTGTGTCGCATACGGGACATGTTAACAACGTAGACGTATTTGACCACAACTCTCTTGCTCCGCGAGACTTTGTCTGAAACTCCGTGACTTGGACACTGAAAATAGCATACGGCTTCCGTTTGGATGTGCGCTTCGATTTCGTCGTACAGAGAGAGCTCTGCGATATGGCAGCGTCAAAATTATAGTCCAAAGTGCAAGTGTGCACCTTCTCTGCCTCCATGGCCTTGCTGATGTACGCGAATGTCGGGTTGTGGGCTCCGTCCTTGTAGTAACCGAACGCCATCCCCCCCTCCGCCGTCATCGATTCTCCCGCAAATGTCTGCATGTCGGCAAATTTGCTCAAAAGAAACCTGGGGAAGTACAGCGTAGGTGTTGCCCGTTGAGGGGATGACGAATAGTCTCCAGTACAGTCATTGTAGGCAACAAGTCAAGTCAGCGGGTTGTCAACTTGGCGCGACTGGGTGTCGGGTGCGAGCCGATCGTGTGTGCTGGGCTACTCGCTACTCCAAACATGCCTTTCCTTCTCACGGTGCCCGGGACTTCAATACCTGGCCATCTATTTCGTCTTGCATCCACATAAACACATCGGCGCAATAATCGTATGGAGTAGCGATGGTTAACCAAAGAACATGCTGCCAGAGAATGACTTTCAAAGACACCGTCATGCTCACTTGACCATCCCTGGTGCCTGCGCCATGAATTCCTTGATCTCGGGCTGCGGCGTTCCCTTCTCCTTCAGCTTAGCACGTACACTCCGTACATACTCCTGCCGTCCGGTGTCACAACAAACACCACATATGTATCGCCGTCACAAATATGAGTTGGATTAGTCCAAGCTACGTGTAGACTTCGTATAGTCAGACTGATGGGGCAGCGCCACGCTATCGAACGAAGTCAAGAACTCCAGGAAGCACTCTGGAGGAATTCAACCTCTACCACGAACCTTGAGGTAATCCTTGAGCTCAGTCTTGCTTCCGAAAGGTACCTCGGTGTACTTGAAAGGGTCGATGACGTTGTTCACCTGAACAACAACATGGCGTCACCAAAAACGTAATGAAAGAGGCATCAGACACGCTGTTTCGCTCGAACCAGAAATGTCGCCATCCGCCCCTCCGGTAGACTCCAGTGGTTCAAAACAGAACAACGACGGCGAGCTAGCGCCACAACGCGACAGCCGTCTATCGTACAGAGGGTTGGACAATGCCAAGCACTCGCTGCTGTACACGATCGCCAAAGGAGCAGCAAATGACCACATGATATTCAATAAATGCTACCTTCTCCACAGAGTCGTCGACGACCTCCTCTTCGCCGCCGAACGCGTTTCCGCAGCCAATGTCCACGTTGTCAGAACCCTTGACCGCGGTGGAAGATTCAACCTGCCAAGTCCAGTTATGCGGGCGGTATGGGAAACCGGAAAGGAGTTGAGCGGGGCCATAATCGGGTTATTAGAAAAAAAAGCACAACATCCATACGGCTCGTCTGTTGTAGCTATCGGCGTTTCAATTTTCAAATCGGACGCCCAGATACGTGGTAGTCATACCGGCTTTCAAAGTTGAGGTCGGGAAGGATCAACCAAACTTCCGCCAAGCCCCATTGTAATTAGGGAAAGTAAATACACACACAGAAAGACTATTGATACCCATTCGAGATATTCCCACAGTCAGTCGAACGGAATGTGTTTGAGTCTTTTCAGTGAGTGGAAGAAAACGGGCTGGGTCCTGGACTTATTTGGAATCTTTGCAAGCCTAACGCTGATGATACTAGATGGTGCACAGTACAAAAACATCTGTAAGGTAACCTACAGTACATTTTACCATCTACATGCACCGGTCGCTCCGGTGGTCTATTATAGTGGTAACCTCGAACCCGCTAGTCGCAAGGGTACAACTGAGTTCGAATCCCCATGGACTGAAAAAATTACAAAATTTGCGGGTGAAAGCGAAACATAGCTGAAAAAGCTCTCGTGAGTGCATCCCAAACTTCGACACCAGCACCGTTGACGAGGGAAAGGGACGGCTGGACCCTTCTCGCGATGAACAAACAATTCAGCACGTATTGCAGGAGGAAGGCGGCGCACGAAAATAAATAAAACAAGAAAAAAGCCCTGGTGTTACACCCCCTCCTGTGTGACCCTGGATGGTTGTAGTTGTACGAAAAAATACACGAAGTGTATTATTACTCTACACACACCGAAGAGTGCAGCACACATGTCGCCACGAAAAATGGGGGGACTGTAACCATGATACTGGACGTAGGACGAAGACAACATCCCCTACAGTTCTCCACTGGGTCAACGACAAAATATCCGGGGAGAATCCCTCCGTCATCTTGTGTGTCATACTTAAAAGTAACCTTCATAGGGAACACGGCCCAGTGTCTTTTGACACCTTTGTTGTTTTTTGTGTAGCTCGTCGTGCTGTCCCATTGAAGAGGAAGAACCCTGAAAACGGAAAAAGGTCGATACCACCGACGCACCGTACCACCTATCCATGGTTCCGCTGTAAGGCAGCAATTCAACCTTTCGGCACTGCTGTAAGGCAGCAGTTCAACCTTTCGACAATTCGCCTCGTACTTTAACATGTGGGGAACATCGAGAGGCACACACTCGCTCCAACACCCACTTTCGCCGACAAAAGCAATGCTTTGACACGCTCGAGTCCTTCGCATCTCTGAAAACACTTGCGCGGGGGAAACCCCGGCAACCCTGCAACGCAAGGCTGGACAAAGACAAAATACGAGCGAAGTGAACCAACCGCGTCGTGGGACGGAACCGACCTTGCCCTTCCGGTTGCCAGCCCAAAAGAGTCGCTCCATGATTTCATGATTTCCCTGTCCACACACCCACCAGTCCTTCCCGAGTCAAAACACCAGCCCTTATGCTAATCTGGCCCACCCTTCTCGACCAGCAGTCAGGAGTAATCGTATACCGCATCTGAACATCTGAACGAACTGAAGTTACCTACACGCCAACACGGCGACACCCACGCACCATTCAAATACAGCCGTGGGTGGCACACATGGGCAGATGATATAACAACACTTACCTGCCGGGAAACAACCACGGCACATCCATGAGGACACTAGCGACAGGCGAACCTTTCTCTCCCGTCGTCACAACTGCAGTAGACTAGGAAGGCTCCACACGACAGGAAACACCACCGTTGCTTACGTACCTCAAACATGCCCTCGACGGTCTCGCCGTCGTTGCCGACCACAGGGTTCTGCGGGAATGCGTCCGTCATCATCTCATCACCGCTGATCAAGTCCTTGTAGACGATCATTTTGAATTTGGGTTAGGGGAGGAACACAGGGGAGACAGAGGTGGGGGGAGGAGTGGTGCCGCGCTCTGCTCTCCCTGCGGCTGCACCAAGTTGCACCAGCACCTCTCTTTTACAGTTTCTAGCCCCCCAACCCCCCCCCCCCCGGAACTGTCTGCCAGGCCCCACCAGTCCAGTTGGTGCAGCCCCCCCCTGCACCAATATTTTATGCATACAATCAATGAACGGCTCTCAAAATTCAAACTTCGCCGATCCATGGGAGTAGTAAAGAGAGCAGAGAAAGGTCTGGTGGCGAACGACAAGGTAAGGGCTGCCGTAGGTCGCGTATCCTTTTGAGTTAGAGAGACGTTTACCCGAGCTTGGACGAAGTAGCCTTCCTGTCCTGTGGGCAAGTGAGCAAACAGCAATAAGGCAGAGTTCTGTTCAGCATGTCACACCCGTGTTTGAGGTCTACGCAGTACGATGATCGTTGGTCGAAGCGAAGCACCCACGCATTTACCTTACCGCCCGCATATGATTTTCGCTCTATGACGCGAAAAGGCCGGGGGGCTTTTCGGGTGCTTCGTTGCAGCGGGCTACAGATGTATGTCTAACTTACCTGCAGACATGCGCCCAACAACCTGAGAAAATTCGAAAGTGTGCTATTCGGGCAAATTGTAACCTGGTTTGTCTGCTACATGAATGTAGTAATCTAACACGTAGTCCAGTTGTCGCGGTGGGTGTGTAGGTGCGTGGCGATCTTCAGATCCAATAAAAACAAATCTCTTAGTACCACCTATCGTTTCAACCCCGCTTGGTCCGCTGGATCATGTGGACTAGCGATTCCCATGTCCAGTGTGTCTTGATTCTGTACTTGGCCGTACTGATTCATAGTCTCGCCACATATGTCCACGCGCCAAGGCTAACGTTCGGTACCATACGCCCCTTTAGCAGAGTAGGATGAATACAACAAATACAGGGAAAAGCTACACTAGCAGTCGCACCGCGGACGCCCGCTCTTGATTTCAATGGTCGTCACCTGGATCGAAGCTTGGGCGTACGCCCCGTTGCCCTATTTTTGAGATGTTGCCGATCAACCATTCGAGGGTTCCGTCTTTCGTTTACTCCTTCTGAGGTAAATCAAAATGCGAGGACCGTCAACCGTCAACGTATTTCATTGCTACACAGCGCCAAAAAAATGCACCTAGTCTCCTAATTCTTCAAATAACTCAACAGCAACATCGATGACCCCCAAAGAATAGGCCTTATAGGAGGAGAGTAAACCACGCGCCAAGGCTAACGTTCGGTACCATACGCCCCATAGCAGAGTAGGATGAATACAACAAATACAGGAAAAAGCCAACAAATATTTATGAGCGAGGAGAGCCTAAACTTGGGGAATACGCAACCCGATACAAAGACGGTGTTGGTGAACAAAACGGTGTGTAGCCTAATCCAAACAACAAGAAGCCAACATGCCATAGGTGGTCAAGGAAGAAATAGAGAGAGTTGCCTCTCACGCAGGGAGAGTGCCACTCTAATCCTCAATTTTGTGTGTACAATTTTCCGTTGTCACCATAAACAATTCGCAGGAAAACCAAGAAGAAAGTGCATCCGGGCAAAAAAACAAAAAGAAAGACCTACCCAAACATTTACTATTCGCTAAAGGCACAACAACAACAGAACGAGGCAAAGCTAGCTTCCCTTCCTTCCCGTTCGTTTAAGTACTGCTAAAGTAGATCTACTCAACATCTCCCCTGGCCAAAACCAACGTCAACTCCTCCCGACCAAGCCTCCGATCGCAACCCCTCAAAGACCTACAACTTTATGGTGCGCAACCACACAGCCAATGCCTTTGTCGTGATGTCTAGCACACAACAGTATCTCCAGGGTATGAACGCTCCGTTCGATCGTCGCCAGGACTCAGAACCCTTGATACTGCTGGTGCATCTGCTGTTGTTGGTACTGCTGGTGCTGCTGCTGTTGCGGGTATGCCTGCTGAAACTACACGATACAGAACATTCACACATGCAAGTAACGACACAACAGGGGGGGGGTCAACGAAACAGCATGCGGGATTCCTGGAGCCGGGTGCAAGGCCTGGTCAGCCGTCAAGCCAAGAGCAGTCGACATGTTTTTCTCCGATGGCAGCCAAAGCCATGTCAGCCGTCCCTACAGTCTGGCCTCCAGGATAATCGTCGGAATCCAGGTATCACAACTACATGTAGCGAGCCAACGTCTGCACACGAGAATAAACGCAACTGGGCTGTTGAAAGTATGTCGCATACGCCCAAAACAGACGACCATGTACTCGTAAAGGACGCACTCCTCATTGTTCGTGCCGGTGCCTGCTGGTCTGACCCCGTCTGCTGCCCGTCCCCGTGGATTTCAAGATCTTCAGTCAGTGCCCGCTGTGTAACATCCCACCGGTAGCCATGGTCAACTCCTACAGTAATATTGTCTGTTTTGATCGTGCGACGCCAGACCAAACCACACGAGGAGGTGGATGATTCTGCGGGTCTATATGCATATGAGTAGCCGTGAAATCGAAGGCTACATAGTAGGGTAACCCCGTTCGACCTCACCCTCCTCACCTGCTGTGGCTGCTGCTGCTGCTGCTGCTGCTGCTGCTGCTGCCGTTGCTGCCCCATCATGGGCTGTTGCTGCCCCATCATGGGCTGTTGCTGCCCCATCATGGGCTGCTGTTGCCCCATCATGGGCTGCTGCTGTCCCATCATTGGCTGCTGCTGCTGTGGAGCAAACTGATTACTTCCCTATGCAAGCAGAGAAGGGCAACACAATGCGTATACAACCAACGGACGAGAGCGATCACCACGTGAACGTGCGCAACACCCCAGGCAGCGAGAAATTCATGAGTAGAAGGCCCTGCCTGAATAGATAAACTACACGGGTGACAAAGCCATGTACCACGTGTGCGTTGGGAGGTGGATATGTTGTCCGCTCAGGGGACACGAAATATGTATACCTGGGGCGTGAAGCCTTGCTGGAGTTGCACTTGTTGCACTTGCTGCACCCCTCCCCCAGGAGCACTGGAATACGCCTGGTGCGAACCATGCGATTATGCGGCGTGGAAAGTGGTAAGGCGGTTGGCATGCCAGGCTGTCCTACAACCAAGATCATCATTGTTGCAACCACGATTGGGCGTTTCAAGGGAGAGTGCGCAGGTCACCAAGCACAGGAAACTTGACAGATTCCCAACACGATTTTGGTATGACAAAGCCATCAACTCGTGAGTAGCTGTCCCCAGGTGGACAAGGTGCCTTGGCGAGACTCATCGCCAGCGTGAACTCACTTGTTGCTGTATGCCGTACGCCTGCTGCCCCTGCACGTTGTTCTGCGCCGGTCGAGAGAACTGCCCCGGTGCTTGGAACTGATGGTGCAGGTTAAGAAAAACGTGGCCAGGGTGGGAAGAGAGATGCGACAAAAGTTGTAGCCTGTAGACAGCTCAATGCATTGTATCCAATAACCATTAGTCACCACAGTCCCAGCATGGCCAGCATTGGCACCAACGTTGATCGCAGTGCATCTGAGCATCTGACGTCAGGAAGGGCTACACAGAATACCCGGATCATGTTAAACATGATAAACATGGTAAACAACGAAATAAAACTTACCTGATCAAACCCGCCGTGCGTGGTGGCGCTCCCCTGATCGTTCCCAACACCTCCGCGCACAACCATCGCCCCCGGGGGCACCTGCTGCTGCTGCTGCTGCTGCTGCTGCTGTGGTTGTGCTCCTGCTCCGCCTCCGTGCAAAACCATAGCCCCTGGTGTCACCTCAGGTCGTTGCTGCTGCGCCGCCGCCGCCCCGCTGTTGTACGTGGATCGGTTGTAGGACGGAGTGTCCCTGGTGGGCGGCTGCAACAGCGGCATCGCCGAACCGGAGGAGGAAACGCTGGCCGGTCCCGAACGGCTCCTCGGCATGCCCCCTCCGTCTCCCCCGGCGGCCATAGGCGCTGCCCCGTTTCCGAACGAGTTCGGGGGCGACGGCCGTTGCATCTGCTGAGAATTTTGCTGTTGGGGGGCGAGCGTGGACGCGGAGGGAGCTCCGAAAACCGCCATGAGGTCCCTGTCAAGGAGAGATGGCCCTGCGAACCACACGCACCACCAAGCGCACGGGTCATTCATGGGATTGGTGACAGTAATTGGTTAGTTATTATAGTTGAGCGACTGACTCTCTGGTCGTTGCTGTGTTGCTTGCGATGGATGCATGTATTGTAAGACTCTCGGGAAACGACAAGCATGCTGTCGTACCCATTCACCACCTACTAGCGCAACTGCTGTAATTCTGTCTTTTCGAGCGCCAAATAATATGACGGTTCATAGATTTCGGAAGGCTTCTACAGCATCTCCCTGATCTTTCCCCCGCACTGAAATGACCTGTCAGCCTGGCCACAACGGCCAGTTTAGGGGTCTCACCCTCGCACACAACGCCAACCACGCCCCGGACAAACTTCGTTATAAACCTCTTGACGCTCACCACGCCACCACCAAATACCCGCGTATTTTTCGTTGTGTCACCTGTTGCTCCGTTTCCGTTGGTGGGTACTATCGCTGTTGTCGTTGTCTTCGGGGGAGAGACGTGCCCTTCTGCGGTCTGGCGTCTAACCATTTGCTGCTGCTGCGACCGCTGATGCTGCGAGTGGGGCATGGATTGCCGACCTCCCCGGGCAGACGGCACCTCGTCTTCTTCGTCCGACGACTCGAGAGAGACCAGAAGGTCTGACGTCGTCGCCAGCGGGGTGACCTTCTTAGTGCTGCTACTTTGAAGCGATATCGCGGAGGAAAGGCGCGGGTAGATTAGAAACAAAGCGTAAGTACTGACGCAGCTGTACTGACGCAGCTGATTGGCAGCGCAATCAAGGTGTCGACGTGGCAGTCGCAGCACAAAAACGCATCGCAGCCAGGGCATCGTAGCCAGGTGGCAGCAAATCCACACGAACAACCGAAAGATACGGAAGGACATCAAGTCGTCGGGTACATACGGATATCCTCCGGCTGTATCTACTGCAGTATGCCACAAAATGCATGTGGTGACACACATGTAGAGCAGAGCTGCAAAAGAAGCAGGGCGTTGTCCTTACCTCCTCCCCTCCTGTGTACGGTTCCTGTCCCGCGGGATCGTTGACTTCCTGGCCGGGGCCGCTGCCGCCGCATCTCCTCCCCGACCCCCTCCTTCCAGCGGCCCCAACCCCAACGTCGCGGCCGCAGATGATCGCCTAGCCTGCTCTGAGGAGGTCGAACGCCGGTTCGAGGGCATAGAAGGCGCAGACGAGAAGCTGCTCTCGCCTGCCCCCAAGCCTGCCCGTGTCTCTGTGGCAGTCATCGACTCTAGCGACCCATGTGATGACTTTTCCAGACTGGCAAAGTTGTCCTGTTGTGTTTGGGGGTGGGCCAGAGTGAGTGAGCTTGGATCTGGACTTTTTTTTTGTTTTTGTGTTTTTTGTTCTTCACTTCAAATCAGCGCTCACAGCACTAGTGCCGCTTATTCCAACCCGTGGTCACACAGAAGAACCTCTCTCTACCCTCCCCTCCTGCGGTACTTCGCCTTCAGGGCTGTGGACCATCGGGTCGTCGTTCAGCGTGTACCACGCCAGGCACGAAACATCTAGCGGAGTCTACGCCACGGTAGGGGTTCGAGTACAGATGACCAACACGAACGTACGTCAAGTCACTACGTCACTAGAAAAACAGAGGCGACACCTACGACGGGGCGGCGTGAATCACCGCGACGGCGAGACGGCACACAGCACGCCACCACACAAAAAATCCCAAAACACTCGGAGATGGGGAATCAGGTGGGGAGGGCGACCCAGAAACAGTACGAAAACATAAACGCAGGAGGAAGCTTGCCTCGTGGACGATGCGGTTGCTGGCGGTGATGTTTTGGAGGTTAGCCGTTTTCTTCAGCTTCATCTGGTGTTCGAGCGCCGAGAGCCACACCGCCTTGTCGGTTTCCGACTTGGCCATGACGATCACGCTGCCGTTCCTGTGTATTATACGGAACATCTGGTCGTGTGCCATCCTAGACGTGACCTCCTTCGGGAGTAGAGCCTCGTGCCGGGCATCCATTTCGAAGCTTGACTACTCTCGGCGGCGGCGGGGGCAGGGAAGGGATGCACCGTTCGTTGAGGTTATCGTCGAGATGAGATTGCGGAAAACATGAACTAGGGTTAAATAAATAAGGGACGCGGGCAAAAATGAGACGGCACGGAGTTCAACGAACGTCTGGGTTGGAAAGGAAGGCGCGGCCACTGCTTCGGAACGCTGCCTATCTGTGCGCCGCGTTCCTGCGGCCATGAACCTCCCGTCATACGCGTCAAAACATGGACAGTCTCGCTCCGTACTGCTATGGTGAGACGTTGTGGGGGGTTTGTACTCACAGATCTGCGCCAACCGTACGCTTGGAAGCATGACAGCAGAATGAGATTTTGCCACGGTGTGAGAGCAAAGCAATACACAACTGCGTTGCAGAGCACGACCAACAATTACAAGTTATTACCGTTGTCACTGCCGAACTCACGTCAACTCTGGTTACGACCATCGTCTCCTTGTGTTTGAACTTTCCCCTCCACAACGCTTTCCCTCGGACAACCTGTCCAAAATTGTGCACACAGCGTTGGACATGGAGCGCGTTCGCGTTAGGCGTTCCGTATGGTGCCCTCCGTCACGAGGTTGAGATGAGATCCTACCCTTCTCCAATCGGCGTCCGCTTGACGCCAAATGGAGTTCCAGGACTTACAATAACCAATACAAATAGTTCCTGTGAATAATGAACACCTTCAGCCAACCCAGTGTAGTCGGCACCGATACAGAACAGAACCTCTGAAGGATGGCGCCTGCTGCTGCGGCTTGGGGCAACAGCGCCGTGCTACTGCTGTACATGTATCCAGAGTCGATGCTCCATGCCCTACAGCTGATTGCTCACCACATCATTGAAGATATAGAAGAACTCCAGACGTACTCCCGCGTCCTTGCCGATGCGCAGGACTCTCAGCGGTCCCTTGTGGACAGTCTCTCGCTTTCCTCCCTGGATGCACAGCTCCAGTAACTGCTCCGACCAAATGTAACATGGCGAACGAGATTAAACAATTAAACCGGAACTGGTATTGCACAGCCTGCTGAGTCATTCAAGCAACGTCAGAGCTTACCCTGACCCAGTCCTTCTTCAAGGCCATGGACTTGGCCGACAGGAGGTAGATGTGCCCCTTCGTTACCACTCGGAAGACATGGAGAGCCTTAGGCTTGTCCTTCAAGTATCCCACGTCTTCCACCTGCTTGATGAAACACGCACGACAGAAGTCAGCGACTGGGCAGATTTCTCGAAGACGGCTAAACTAATCGCAAACTCAACCCAAATCACTTAACGTTCTCCTCGTTCTAGGATATGAGACGAAATGAAGACAACGACGATCCCAAACACGGGGACTCCGTTAAGAATAGTCTATTTTACCTGCATCAATACGGAATACGTGATGGTGACTGAGTGAAACATTCACACCACGGCCGCACAAAAGTAATAACGTGACCAAGCAGTCAAGCATACCGTGGAGAGAGCGAAGCTTCGTCTGTCTGCTAATCAACCACATCAAGCGTTTCCATGAACAACGAACACATCGGTGATAAACGCTTGGATTCCAAAAACAAAAAAAAAGTGCGTACCTGAAGGACAGGGTCAATGCGCTTGAAGACGTACTTGGCACCAAACGTGGCTGGCTTCGCATGCAGAAGACCGTCGTTAAACAGCGCAAAGAAGTCTTCCCGGTCCTGGTACCTGTCGTGTCGAACAGAAGTGGGTGGTCGACCAAGTGACCAACATGCAAACAATAATGACTTAATCAGAGGGTAGCACGATGGGGGCGATGGCGATGGCGATGGCGACGGCGAGAGCTCTCCCGTTGCGTGGCCCTTCCCGCATGTAATCCTTGCAAGTCGACGCAAGGAAGGAATTTCGCCGACCTCGGGCAGAAGGTACTGTACTGCAGGACGAATGAAATACTTTGTAGAGACTTGTTCTCTCTGGCTGCTAATTCCAATCTCACCGAAAAAAAATTGCTCCGCGATGCTTTCGTCGCTGGCTGATATCGTACCGTACGGAACTAACTAATCCCATTTACCCCAAAAACGAAGTCGAGTGGCGCACCTGCGACCCAGCTTGGTGAGAATTCCCGACCGCAGAAAAATTCTGGTGGGCTTTGCCAGGTCAAGAGGCTCCGACAGCATTGCTTGCAGGTCTGCGCATGGTGAAGGTGTCAAAACGACCAGAAGACAGACAGATAGTGCGTGTGAACGCTAGTGGGCGGACAATGATTACTTCCAGCATGTGCCTTGGTCAACAGTAGTACTGAAATCGACCAGCCATGCCAATCGCGCGCCCTGTGAGCAGAAATGAAAACGATAGGAAAGCTTGTGTGCGCATATTCGAGACTCAATGACGCCATCGTCGAAGAGTGATACAGTGGTGCTTCCTTCAGGCCTCCAACTGTTATCCTCCTGTAAATCAGCCGGCGCATACACAACACTATGCCTGCCTACGGAGAGAACACGAAGTTGCGAGCGACGTGCTGTTTATGCTGTTGCTGTCGCCGATACTTCTGCTACATATCACACACGCACCCCAGATCTTGGCCTGGTTTTCCCTCCGTTTGATGCTGTCGTTGATAAAGCTCGCCACGTCCGAAATCTGCTCGATGGCGTTCTGCAATAGGGGGCGGTCCGGGTGGTCCGCCTCGGTGTTCTTCAGCATACCCTCCAAAAGCAGTTTGTACCTGCATGCGTCACACAAGCGCACACATCGGGTGGGAAAATAAAAAATCTGCTGCAATTTCTGGGGCAATAAAACTGGTCCTAACACAGAGAACCCCCTGCCTGAGAGCGCTCTTGAGAGCGAAGCACCATCGTCGGGCCGTGATGGCAACTACATACACAAATCGGTGCACCGTTCTTGAAAACAAAAAGTATCGATCGCACTCTTATGTCATACATACCACAGACAAGTATCTCATTGCCTCTTGCCCACACACCTGCACTGCTACTGTAGGCGCCCCCCCGTGTGCGCTACCTTTCAACGGTATTGGGACACGCATATGCCCCGCAAAACGCGCGCGCATATGTTAATGTTCACCTCGGTATCCGTTGGATGGGCATGATGAGCAAGCTCTGTGCGTCGAGATCTTGGCAGCGAGGGTCCGATCTCGCTCGCTGAACAGCAATCGCCGACAGAAATGGAACGGAGTTGGTGATGGCATCATGGCAAAACTAAGCAATCGGTGGTACACACTAGTCGTCGCGAAGTTGCGACACATCCGACAGACATCCCACAAGCTGGTCCGTGGCACGGTGAACAGTGGGCAGGTTCCGTTTAGTGTATCCCAGAAGCAGATGAGAGTTCACAACTCACGTGTGTTCAATGTACAGCTTGGTGTTATGTAGGTGTATTCACAAATCGAGATCAATCCTTTCAAGCAGTGATGGCTACATGCAATTGTAGCTCACGTGCAGGAGGTTGCTGAACTTGTCGTTCTTCGAGGCGATAAGGCTGACCCGGCTTGCAGTGCTCTCGTGCTGGGTACAGTACTCAACATACATCTTGAGGAAAGGGGCGAATCGCTTGAAAAGGTCTCCAAAGCACGTCTCGTCCGACAACGTCGCCATACGCCCCTTCGTACAAAAAAACAGAACACGAAAGCACAACGGGAACAGCGGGGAGCGGTCGGCTGCAGCTATTTAGCTTGTGACTCTACCTGCGCCCAAAATTCAGGCATCTTGGCTGAGCTTCAAGGCGCCCACTACAGGTGAAAGGTCGCCATCCTACAGCTGTTGTTGCCAAGGCAAATCAACCTGAGGCGCGAACGATCAGTCTCAAATCACGAATTACGAATCATGAATCATGAATCACCACGTGTTTCATTTTTGCGTTCGGAACCAAAGGTGAAGCTCGAGGGGCGGGCGTCGACTCCTGTTTTGGACCACAATAATGACAGCGACGGCAGACATGACACCATCTCCGAGTTCCAGATGCATGGTGCAGGGGCAAAGGACAACAGAGGACATCGAGATGCAATGGGGCTGTCATCTTACTTTCGTGGAACCACGAAATCAGCACGAGATACGCCATAGACCAGAGTTTCATGCTGTGCCCCGCTCTTGAGAGTACGCTACGCCGAAACCGCCAGCAGTTTCATACCCGGAGCTGCTCGCGAAATGCCGTGTTAATAGCCAGAATTTCTTCGGCCCTGAGTGTTCCAAAGAGCTCATTCGCGTCATCCTTTGGCATGGGGGTGCTCTTGTTTGACCCCTGCCCCAGGCATGGTCGGATGATGGTCGCCAGGAGGGCTTCGAGCATCCGCACGTACCTATGGAAACATACCCCATCAACACGGAGCATTGCGGAACATCCAACAGCGGTCGGGTTGCGAATAATCAGCAACAGCGAAAGGTTATCCGATCAGTTGTGTCGAGAAAAAAGTACCGTATGTACACTAGCTTAATAAGAAGAACTTGGACAACACAAAGCCACGCAAGATACAACAACTTGTAGGGTTCAAGTCATGAAACATGCCCCAGAACAATCGAGATCGAGCATGCGCGGTCGTGAAAAAACACAACGTTCTCCCCTCCCCTTTGTTTTAGGTGTTCTTGCATGGAAGAACTCAACCTGGAGCCAACAAGATATGGGTCTCTTCTGTGTACACAAAACGGTTCCGCACAGCTTGACAAAATGCACCAAATACATGTCGGGTATTGGGGGAACTCATTCACGGTTATCACGGATGTGGCGGCATCCAAAAGACACAGTACAGCAGCGATGGGACCATGGGACCACCCACTTGTCTTCCGTATCAAGCAGCTCCCTGGCGATGTTCTTACGCTCCCGCCTCCGCCGATCCCTGTCAGAGCTAGTAACAGACGCCAAGCTCTCATTCTGCACCATATCACGATTTAAACGACAGCAAGACAGATGGACCATATCGTCAAAATGCACGTTGTTTGTACGCATGGACCACAACACACATGAACGTGTTGCTGAAACCGAACGAACCGAAGGAAGCATGCCAAAACCAAGCAGGCCTTCTTTGGCCTGGGGAGCAGGGAGGATTACACACAGCCAGCAAGCAGCATGCTGTGATTCGAAAACCAATGCATGAAAGAGCTTACATCGTCCAAATCGCTGGTCTGCTCGTCTCCAAGATCCTCCATCCACATCCCGAACATGTCAGGATCACCACCACCACCTTGGTTACCCCACTTCATGTGCAAAGTTCCGCAAGATAGAACCAGGGGAGGGCGCATCGCGGATCAGATCTTATGTCCGGGTGTAAGGAAACACGGTGATACATGTAGGGGTTGCAGCAAACAAATATGCAGCACATGGTGAAAATGCACTCCAGACTACAAGGGCCACAAAATAAACCTGGAATACCATCTACTGAAGTGACTTCTCTTTTCCGTGCCGTGATCGCCGCTGCAAAGCGTTCGTTGGTGCAATCGAGCGACGGTCACTCCTGACCAATGCCGTCGTGCCAAATATGCCGAGCTGTCCAACGAGTTCGTGGGCCAAAAGATGTTGCGATCTCAATGGCATGTTCTTCCAACGAACAAATAATACATCGCTCTATACTTATACTGGCACCGTTTCCGTCCACGAAGAACAGCCCGTTGGGATATTCTCTATCCATCCCTGGGTACACAAGAGAAGTTTAAATACCCAAGCACATCCCTTGGCGTAATTATGGGCAACCAAACCACTGAGCAAGGCACGCGATCAGCCTACTGCTGTAGTGGAGCATACAAATCTCACAAGCACAAGGAACAGCCAACCACAATCCGACGTCGTCCTATCCCATCCCTTTCCATCCTATTAATAGCCTAAATTAGCTCATCTCATCTCACCTCGTTGCCTTGAGGCTGCGGTGGTTCCATCATCGGCGCCGGCGCCGGCGCCATGCTTCCCATCCCCAAGGACCCCCAATCCCACCCCTGCCAACATGGGTGTAGACACAGCGACACATCGATCGAACAGAGAAAAAAACGGAGTCGGCAACGCTATACCATAATTGTCGGCGTCACCATCACGCCTGGAGCGATACAGCTAGCTAGTGATAGCAACAGGGCGCGGAGGTGCAGTTCATGGCCCGTAAGCATGAAGTCCGATGGCATCGATGGCACGGCAGCGCCAAACAGTGTACAGTCTTAGCCACCCCCACGGAGGAGCACAACCCCCCTCCCCCCGCATAAAACGTGACCGTGTACAGCAGCTGCATCAGAAAGGACAGCCACAAGACAACTGCTGTAGACTACATCCAGCTGAACTCGTCCGATATGGGCCTGACAAGGGGAAAATGCCCGTCAACTTACCACACACGTTCGACAAGGGACGGTAGGTAACCACTGCTTCATCCCAACTAACAGAGCAACACGAAGCACGACTACGATTTTCCTGCGGCCCGGAAGAAAGTCGAGAACAACAATGTGATATGTGCAGGAAAGAACAGAAGATATCTTCCACATAAGATACATTTAGATACATTGCATGAATGTATCAATCCAGACGCTCTCCCTCGTCCTCCGGCACAGTGAAGACACAACAAAGGTGCAACGAGCACACACATGGACGACCTTATGGAAAATCGTGGTACGTACATCGGCCTCAATCCCCATCCCGCCTCCTTCCAGTCCCGTTGTCTGCGGCTGCGGCATAGGCTCTGGCTCCGGTGGTTTAACAACATCGACGGGCGCTACCCCCCCGTTGCGGATCAAGGCTTCTGCCGCATCAGGGTCCTCTCCGCGTGCGATAGCCTCCTCCCTTGCCTACAGCACGATTATCCGATCGGTGTTTTCGTAGGAATCATTCAATGTTTGCGTCGAGACACAACAGTACCTTGGATCGCTACATTATACCATGGTCCGTACCGTACTAGATAACTTCAACAGAGATTCCGCTTAACACGGGTGGTGGGTTGGTTTACCTACTGGGGGGGGGCGCTTGTTCTTGTCAGGACGCTTCAGACGTCTATCCTAGCAGACCATACTTTTGTTTCGTTGTTGTGGCATCCATATCCTTAACACACCGCAGAAAAAAAGCCCAGTACTTCCCGCAGCAACAGACTCAAGGATTTCCAATCATGACGCGGCAAGAATATCCATTCACTACGTTGCAATTTTCTATTTCGATCGAAGCAGAAACAACGAATAACGAAAACATAGGTGAAAAACTGGACCATGTTGGACGTTTTGCACACTATAACCTGCTACATGTGAAACGTCCCATGCATGCTGCAAACTAGGATTGTGCAAATGATTCCACGACCAACGCCACATTTGCCCTTCGTGAAGCTCATAGCTAGTGGTATACCTGAACATATACTTGGGGGGCACAACAAAGAGCGCTACGTCTTCTTGTTGCGTTTCGTCTTGAGTGCAAAGCAGAGCTTTCTTCAATGTTCAACTCGATCGTAATCAGAGGCTATGACGGAAAAGAAAATTATTCAAGCATTCCTGAGGGACCATAAAACGCTGTTCATGTGCTGACAATGGTCTGAAACCTCGCAGTTACGAACGTGCTTCTACGCTTGGTATATATCAATCTTTAGCCTACACATTGCTGACCTTTTTGATGAGGATTCGTTGTTGCAGCTCGTGCATACCCGGGAGCGGCTGAAACGATGCCTGGACGTAGTTGTGGGGGAACCTGCACGTGCGTGTAGCGAGCGACAATCTCCCGTTACAATAACCATGTGTTAATTCGATTGAATATCATGGCCAACAGAGCCCACAGGTATGGGAGCAGAAGCGATGGAGTCATCAAGTCATCAAACCATCAACATCAACCCTAGAGGGTGGATGCCAGTCACAGGGTGGAGGGCACCTGCTTGTTTTCTAGAATAGCGAAAGAGCAAAACAGCTACAGGGTCCGGCCATCTAGGGCATGTGTCGGTGCGACTTCAAAGGGAAAAAACAACAACGTATCATACCATGATGTGTCAAGCAAAGTGGTGTGCTATGAGCTGTGACGATCGAGGTGACGGACGGAAGTATTTATCTATTTCTCTGTGCACAAGAGAACTAGAAAGGCAGTGTTTTGACAACACCAGCGGAAAGACTAGGCACAACCATGCTCGCCATGTGATATTCTTAGAGGGCGCAAACTCACTAGCTCTGAGTGCAGTCATAAATCTCTTGTCACCTGGTTTGGCTCGACGGTTGGCCTTGTTGGCTTTGCCGATTATCCCTAATGTGTATGACCGCTAAACGTGAGGTTGCGACATACGGACCGCCAAAACTAGTTTTGAGTGGAAATGTGTTTCGACACTCAAAAAAGCGAACGAGCTTTGTCTCTCGTGCTTTCACACACCAGCGCACGATCAGCACCATCAAATTCTAGCGGTCCAGCAAAGGTATGCAAGCCTCAACAGCCGATCCAGTGCAGTATAGAAACACTTTCTGTGGAATCTCACCAGCCTTCTTCCCCGCTCTTCTCCAGTTTCCCCCATGACCACAGCTCATCCTTTTGGAGCAACTGCAGGCGGACGATAAGCGAGGTTACAGGATTCTTACCGGGTGAGACGGAGTAAACCCAAACCTTGCGCACGAAAACATGAGCTATGATAGCATCTGTACCTGCGGAGAGCTGCGCTATCGCCCGCGGGACATTGCCGGTGGTACAGCACCCGCATTCACGCCTTCGCGGCAACGAAACTACCTGTATCACAGCAACGTTCTGCTTGGTAGGTTCCAATGTTCGGAAACGAGCTCCTTCCATCGTTCGTTAGAGTTCTACTTGTACTCAAGTGCGAAAAGAGATGAGGAGGTTGACCCGACCCTACTGAGGAACGAGAGGAAGGAGAGGAGCGAATCATTATCTTGTTCAAAGAGCGACAGCGACAGGGTGGTGAGCATCGTCACGATAACCCTCAGGACGAAGTTGGTGTTCATCGATGCCTCTGTCAGCCAGCACAAAGGGCCTCAGCAGGGCCGAAAGAGAGGAAGAAAACATGTATGCTTGTATGCTCGTGTGTGGAATTGATGGCGTGGTAGACCCACCGAGAAAAGGTGGCACCTTACACATTCCCACGCCGCTAGCCTGCTCCTGTGATATGCTCAAAAGGCGCGATGTTGCTGGTGCTGGTGCTGGTGCACAGGGGATTGCTTGTTGTGGGAATATTGGAGGACAAGAGCTGCTCAACCCCAAAACAGTCCTGTCTGGAGTTGAGTGACGGCGGTGGCTCCTCGGGAATACCTCTTGAGAATGACTCACGGCCGGAGTGTTTAATTTGTACATGAAAGCAGTCTCTTGGGAGGTGAGTATCATACTTGCGTTCATTTATGGAGTTTGCAAGCCAAGGTTTTCAAGGAAGAGGCACGAGCAATGCACGCGGGGTAAAATCGTGTATTCGTGTTCATTTGATCAATTTTACATGTTCGTTTTTTTCAATGCATACGTAGTTTGGTTTTATGAGAAGACGTGAAAATAGGTTAAATGTACACACAAGAGGTTGCCTTTTTTCACCCTGACCTCCCCTGACCTTGTCAATGTGCAAGCCTGGGTCCCTACTCTTTGCAAAACACGAAGAATGTTGTCCAAAAACAATAATGCTTCCCGATACTGAGTCTCCTCAGGAAGGCTGCAGCCATATTTAGGTATCTAGTCGGATCGGGGAAATAAGCGTTTTTGTGGTGGGCGCAGTCCAGCGGCCGTGGCCGCGAGGGGTGTGCACGCTTCGACCACATACATGTGGCTGGTGCTTTGGTTCGGCGCCTTATGGCTGGCGAAGCAGTGGCAGCGGTACAACTGCAGATTACTTTTAAATACTACAGACAAGGCAAAGCGTGTGTGGGCCCCAATCGACATACTCCCGTCATCTGGCCGAGGAACGGAAGAGCAAAGACATCCCGCCTTTGGCCGACAACCGTCCGGACCAACACAACCTCCCCCCCAATCTATCGTTAGTGCTATATCCTCCGATTTCCCCTCATGTATTCTTCGGACGGTGGGCACGTGGGCACACGAATGACCGCCCATGTTGGCGTCATCAGTATTTATTCTACGGCAGTACTCCGTACACAAGACTACAAGACTGCTGCTGTTCTCCTCTTCGCGGACTCATGTACGCAAATGCAGTCATTGTTCTTCTTCCATAGAGGTCAGATGACGTCTATCAAACATACAGTATTGCGCAATTATGCCGGCGTCTCTATGCGTTTCGGTGGAACCCCACGGTGCAGGTCCATGCCAACAAGCCGCTACAGCAGTCGCTCAACAGGTGGGGGTTGTAAGTCTCCCGCTGGGATGCGCCCACCCCCTATGCTCTGTCGCGGGACAATTCCTCGTCAGCCCATTTCACGGCGTTGCTGTATTCGTACCTTGATGTTATCTCCGATTTGAAAGCTCAGCTGACCTCCCGCCAGATCACCGAAGAAGGGAAAAGTTGCGCTCACAGTAGCCCCTTCCTCCACTTGAAGCTTGAAAGCCGCGTCTACGTTAGGGGGGCCGTCCCCAGACATCTGCTGTCCGGCGGCTTCTTGGGACCAAGCTTCACCCTGGACACCCTGAGCTGCCGCACCTCCGAATGACATTTTTTCCGAGACGCCTGAGGTATCTCTCGCCCAACTCGACCTTGGAGGTCTAAGGCCTCTCTTGTAGTTCCCACGAGCCGTGAGGCAGATGCTGTTGGCGTGACGGCGAGCGTTTCTCTCCCAGTCCCGATTAATGCGACCCTTGAACGGCAAGAGCGGAAGAGCCGGGCGAGAGGCATGAGCGGCATCAGGCGGAACAAAAGCCAAGAGAGAGGAGAGAGGAGGGGGTACAATCGCAAATTTTGCAAGCAAACAAACTCAACACCCAAGTGCTGCATTGACCGACACTCAGACATACCGGCAACTAGGCCGAACTGATGAAAACCGGCCAAGCACCGCCGTCGACGTCCTCCTCAGCGCCTCAGCCCTGTGCAGTCAGCGGCAAGGGTGTGTGTGTCGTGCTTTGTCGTGCTTGTCTCAGCTTGTCTGGGGGTGACGGAACTGTAAAAAAAGGAACTTTCTCCCCCCCCCTAACTCCTGTCGGTGTGTTATCTCGGTGTTGACTGCTGCTGTCGATCCGAGCAGAGTTGGTCTGCACTCTCGGTCGGACACTGCACACCCAGCGTTTGCCTTTGTCGGCAGTGTTGTTTTCAAGATCCTGCTGGTTCATCCGTGTGAAGTTGACAGGGGCACCGCTCGGCACTCCACCACCAGAGACACAGCAGCCGTGGTCTGGTGCATACCGTCGTGCGTTCTCTCGCGACACGGAGCTAGCTGCCCCGCAAGCCAGGCTGTGGGAATTCCGATAACCGAAGGGTTCTCTGTAGCTGGTAGTCTAAGAGGGAGCAAGACCAAGCCGTGGCGGGCATCAGCAAAACGAGTGGCCGCTCAGCCCAGCTCACTCTGCCCACGCCCTTAGAGAGCTCCCCCAAGTGATACACCGGCGGGAATCGCGGTTTAGACGGAGAGAGAGAGAGAGAGAGAGAGAGAGAAGCCCCAAGATGGGCTGCTCTGAGTCGAAGGAGAGGCTGGAGCCACCTGGGAATGCTAATGCTACTGCTAATGCTAATGACCTTCGTCGGCGGTCGGAGGGAGAAGTCGGGCCGATGTCTCCTCGGATGGCAGCACCGGCGCTTGGCGAACCTGAGCCTGGAGAGGATAGCAGGCGCAAGACAACAGCACATCGCGAGAAGCTCTTCTCCACGATGCCTAAAACATCTTACAACACGCACACTACGGCATCGTCCTACACGGGGAGTAATCCCAGGTCGGATGGAGGTTCCGACATCGGGAACATATCCCAGCACTCATCGTTCTCCAGAAGGAGTGGAGCTGGTGGCTTTGGGGGAGAGGAATGCTTGGAGGAGGTGTCCTCGGAGGAGTCAGACTTTGAGGACGATGAGGAGCAACTTAGGTGAGTGAGTAGAGAGTAAAGCGTAGCAACTTGCTTGACGATGAACCCGCGCTCAGGTTGCCAACTGCTTTACAGCAGCAGCAGTAGTAGTAGCCGGTGTGTGCTTTCGTTCCCTTCGGCACGTCCCGTTCTCTCTTGCCGAACATCGCATCCTTGCCTACTCTCAGCTCTCCTTACTTTCAACAGCTTCGTATGTACCTTAACGTACGACGGTTTACGGTGTGGTATGTTTTGCATTAGGAATGGTCGTGGTTGCCTCTGGTGTCTCTAATAAATTAATTTATGACCGTGACAAAAGTTCTTACTCTCGTTTTACTTCTCACTTTTTGTTCGGTATTATACCCGTGAAGATGGGGTGTTTCGCATCTAAGAATGCACCGACCCGCCATCAACGCAAATATGTGCATCCCCGGTGGTGAGAGTTTTTAGAGTCCTACGGTAAACAATAGAACAGGAATGAGACAAAGCAGTGCAAATAGGAGGGATGACCTTATAATAATGCTGTGCCAAAGAGACAACGATGAAACGCTGACGCGCTGGCTCTGTGCATCACTGCGTTCTATTCATACAGCAGTGGACTGGCCTGTGCTGTGCTTTAGACCAGTATTCCACCTGGTTCGGGAAGGCAAGGGCATGGCCGCCGGCTATCCTTTACACTTGGGTGTTCCATCTTCCAACTCCTGGGACTGCTGTGTTTTGGCTAAACCTCCTTTTGTGCTCGGGAAACCCAGACAACAAACAGCTGCTGTGGTCCGGTACCTTGTTCACATCACACACAGATTTAGACAGCACGGGGCGGACAGACTTTGTTGATGTAGTCTTGTGTTGAAGATTGATAGCATCCGCAAACAATGGCTTGTGTCGCCTTGGACGGTTATCGAAGAAGCAGCATATTATGTCATGATGTACGGATTTGTTCCGTTGTCAAACCGGAGCAGTACTGTAGCAGTAGTCGAGTGCAATCTCGGAAGTATTCTAAAGGTACGCAGATGTAGAATGTGACATCCGATCCGCTCTTGTACTAATCGAACGTGCCCTCGCTCACAGCATTACTCTTGCAGATAGCTTGGTGGGCTGATGGAGCTATATACTGCTGTAGATAGTCAGCGTTCGTTCACTGCTGCCATGGATGCGTTCCCCGGTATGATTCAGTTGAAGGAATTTTGGTCGGTGCAGCAGTAACTAGATCGACGTCACTTGATAATTTTTTGCACTCACTCTCGACAGCGCACCCCGTCGTCTAAACAAATAACGCCAAACCATCCGTTGTTACTCCCGTTTTATGTTCCATCCTCCACCCATGGCGATGAAGACGTAGCCGTAAAGACAGAACCAAGGCGGGAGAAGGAAAGTTCTCGTTGCCTCCCTCTCCGTCAGGCAGCGACGGAGGGGCAGTTGGCAAAAACCCTGCGCCCTCTTCCCCACCCGCAGAGGCCTTGGCAGAGGCCCCTGTCTCGACTGTGCAGATCTTGTCGTCGAGAGAGGGCACGCTGAGCGCGAACAGAGGTTCTGCAGTGCCCCCCCCGGTTATGGGTGCAAAGTCTGCGGGGACGCTCTCCCAACCGTCCCCTTCTACGCCCCGAACGGAGGAGGCGTCGCCGTCAGCGACGTCTGTGTTGGCCGTCCCGATTGTGCAAACGCCGACCCGATCGTTACATAGGGGAGGCGGAGGCGTCGGGCCGTTCGCGTTCCCGCCGGAAGCTCCTATGTTCGTTTTGCCATTGACGGGGCTAAGCGCGGCAAGAAGCTTTCCCAAGTACCAGAACGCCATGAGGAGCGGGGCGTTGGTGCCATACGACTCGCTCGACCGCAACAGCGCGTTCGTGGTGTTCGTGTCGCATCGCTGGATTAACGAGTCCAGTCGGCCGACGGAGTTCTGGAAGCACGGTGGAGGGCAGGACTTCGGGGAGGGATCGCCAGACGTTGATTCGGCCAAGCACACCTTTCTCGTTGAAGGTTTGCACTCGATCCTGGCTTCTCTTCCGCGGGAAGTTGCGGTGTTTTTGTGGATCGACTATTCCTGCATAGACCAGGTGAGAACCATGTATCGTGTCTCATGTGTTGTGGGTGCTAAAAGAGTGAAGGGGTCTCGTATCGGCCACGCGCGAATACCATGTCCACCTACAGCAGCAGTAGAGACTGGGAAGCTGAATCTATGGTACCCTCGTCTGTCATATGTATGATCAAATTTGTTTCTTTTTGGGAACAGCTGTGAGTTGGTGGTAGGTGGTTGGTGTTGTGGTGGTAACATCTTTGCCGTGTTGTTGCGCTTCACATATTTCGGCAAGTGTTTCATTGTTATCAGGAACTTACGTACCGTGTTCTCTCTTGGCTTGGATGGTGTTATCCATGATGGGGCCGGCCGGAGTTAAAGTGGCCTTCACATGCCTCGTCACTCCTCTAGCACTTTGTGCGATTGCAGAGCTTTGGGATTATCTACACACAGAGATTAGCCTACAGCAGGTTTCTAAACCGGGCCCATTGTACGGAAACATGCACCCGAAACGAATACATACCGTGTCGTGTGGCTCGTTGCAGACGCACAGGCCCGTTGGCCTTGTAGCCACACCAGAAGTCTCCCTTCACCGTGCGAAGTGTGCCTACCCCACCTCCCTTCTGATCTCAGGAAAACCCAGAGAGCAAGCGCAAGGGAGCTAGGAGTGTGGCTGCTTACATGCAGCTCAGCGACGCCGTCTTCACTCCATATGCCGAAAGCTTGTACCCAAGCAGCGGGGGCGGCGGCGGAGAGGCAAGTAGAAGTTCCGGCTGGCGGATAGTATCTACCATCTGGAGCATGAGAGGGGGTGGGATCGTAGGCTGACAAAGTCTGGCCGCGGGGTGGAGGATACAGGAAAGGGGAGGTTCAGGAAATGGCTGATCTGGAGAGAGACTCTGGAGAATGGGATGTAAATGCTGCGGACAAGTTGCATTTCTGAGAGGTTTGCGGAGCGGAACAATTGTTCCGGTGATGATGATGATGGACTATAATAGTCTACAGGATATACCCGGTCACGAGCCTTGCCGTAACGTCGGCATAGATGCGACGGCCGGACGCTGTGCACTCGTGGATAGCCTGGAAGGGAGCTTTGACACTGTCTTTCCGTTTGGTACTGTAGCTCAGACACGCTTGCAACACCCGTGAACATGCGCATCCCCCTGCACCCTCGACGCGAGCACCGGTCTTGTCGCACCTGTTTGTGGTTGCATTCTACTCGACTGTCATAACCGATGAACCTTGCCCCCCTTACTCCTGTTTCGCTGCTGGCTGCTCTGACCGATGGTGTTAGCAGACGTTCGCCAACCCATTAGGCGAGGTGTGCAACACACCCTGGCCGAACTCTTACCGGTCTTTGCAGGACTTCTGTTCCCGCGCATGGTGTCGCCTGGAGGTGTTGCTGTGTGCCACCCTCCCCTTAAGAGACGGCGGTTTCAGGTGGGTGGGTGTGCACATGAAATGCTGTTTGTTATGTTTGGACGAGGCCTTGGCTTTCCTTGTGTTGAGTTTGGAATGGCTGGAACAAGAAAGCAAGTGAAGTGTCAGGCGGAGTTTCTGCCCCCCCCCCCCACGTGCCGCTTTCTGAGGCTTGTCGCAAATGGGTAGCCCTGTTATTCAAAAATGGTCGCGGGTTACGCGGTTGTATGGAGATTAGCTAACACGGCGTATAGTCGTACATACGATGAAAAGGGTTGCCCCGCTCTGCTGTACCTGGTACTCGTTGTGCATACGGAGGCGGAGTTGGCGTGCAGCCTCGTTACGTGTTTTGTTTTGCAGAATTGAAAAACGCAGTGACGATGGTACATGTTGAACTCTGTGAGTCGTTTTGTGGCACCATCAGTAAAATATTAGCAGTGATTCATTTTTTGATTTGTTTGAGTGAAAACCCCACTAACACCGTGTAACAGCGTTCTTCATACGCTATTTCCAATCGAAGCTTGGGCTCTCATGCTCCTGCTGCCCAAGTAGCTTGCCATGCCGGAGGGAGCAAGACGCTGCACGGTGTTGTCCCACTGAAACGATTTCTCATCACTCAACACTCAACACGATCACAGCATTACTCTCGACTAATGTGATGAGAGTTGAATCACCAACTGATTGTCGGGGTGGTCCTTTCTTGCACCGGCTCGGTTTCAGGAAGACTTGGTGTGTGTGATGCCACTTGACTTGAAGCGATGTCACTTGACGTGAGATGACCGTTTAGCATATTCCCTTGGTTGATAGGTACTTTGCTGCCAGAGGGGAGGAGGGCCGCGCGCAAGACCGACCTCACTTCGTTTACGGGGAGTACCAACGGCGTCGCAATTTGCCACCAGAGGCCTTGGCCCGATCCGTGGACGAAGCGTGGGCTAGCTCCGTGGATCCGCTAGAGGGTGAGAGGAAGGATTAGAACCATGAGACACAAGAGAGCGAGGAAGAGAACCTGGGGGAGGGGGCGAGCGGGTTGAACAGAGGGTGCATGGTGCATGGTCGGATGGTCCTCCTTCATGCGTCGTGTATCTTATCTGGCGCATGTATCTCCCCCCCGCCCGCCCCCCGACTGCGGGCTCGATATATTCAGCATCGTTGCCTGCTGTTACGTGCTTAGATGCATTACTTGTATGCATATGTGACACACACGTCCCTTGGATGCATTCGTGTGAGCCGAACAGCGAAGAGGCGCTTTGTTTCAGAAAGTCAGCAAGTAGCAAGAACCTCACCAAGCTCTTTCCAACCAACGCCATCCGTAGGCTTCTTGAGCAATCCCGAGGACATGGAAGCAATCGTGCACGGAATGGGGCCCGTTAGACTGGCGTCCAGGTCAGCGGCAAGCTCCGCGCTTGGTTCATCGGTCAACACGACTACCGCCGTGGCCACCGTGGCCACTCCGCTGCACCCTGGGGATAGCGAAGAGCGAAGACGTGCGACCGGCAGAGCGAGCGGAGAACGAGAAAGAGAAAGAGAAAGCTCTGACGCCGTCGGACGGGGGGGTGGGGGTGGGAGTGGCGGTGGTCGAGGGCAGGGCGCTTCGAAGGGGGCGGGGCGAGGGCGGACGGGGCGAGAATTGATTCCTCCTCTAAGCGAGACAAGGGCAATGCCGGGCCTGTCCGACGAGGCTGAGCTGGTTTCCGCGGCAAGGTATGTGGGGTGGGGTGGGGTGGGGTGGGGTAGGGTAGGCTCCTGGGAGCTGGTCTGGTGATGTGGTCACAGCGTCACAGTGGTTTTGGCGTTCAGCCGGGCAAACGCCCGCCTTATAAATTCGTCCACCACCATATGTTTGTATGAGTGGAGGCCTTGAATGTTCTGGAGTGACGTGGACAGTTTGACTTTTCTCTTGCGGCTAGGTGTAGCCAAGTGGCGCGATTCCGGCGAGTCTTGAGACTGCCTGCCGCCGCCGCGGCCCTTCGTACTACTACGATTGATACGACGTTTGGAACGACAGACGTAGACGTAGATGCTCTGTCTACGACGTTTGGGTCGGGCACTCTTGGGCAAACCTTTTCGGGAATGTTTTGGGTCCACAGTGCGGTCTTCTGCAATACCATTTTCATTGTTGAAACAGCAGTATGGTATGGTATGGTGTGGGTGGAAATACAGTGTACAGCACTTCAGCAGTATCGATCACTTCCCTCTCGTGTCCACGTTTGGCGCATCTTGCATGTGAGTTCGTTGAGTGGTTGGCCGAATTTCTAGAGTGTTGAACATAAGAGAAACTTAGGTATTGGTGGATTTGAGTTTCCCCCTGATGGAGAAAATATTGATGTGTGCACTTTTTTTTTTTTTCCAGGAGTATTGCGACGGACCGCCTCATGTCCCCCGCGGTCAAGGGCGGCAGGATAATTTCCAGCCCCAGCCCCATGCGCAAGAGGACTGCCGCGGCCGACTCTGCAGTGGGCAGCGAGACCAGGGGAGCGGTGAGTACTTGTATTGTCTACCGAGTAGCTAGCTTGTCCTTTTCTTGCATCATGCTCAATGGCCTTCGAGCCCCCGTCCGAACGACGTGCCGGAGTGGCATTTTGTCTGATAAGATACAACGGAGTGCCGGCAACGTTGTGCTCATCAACACCTCTGCATGCACAAAATGACTCTGACCATGTTGCCTGCTTCATGGTATCGGTTCTGGATCCGCTGGTCAGAGAGGGGACTCGAGCATGCCGGGGTGGTTGTGGGATACGGTATTCCAGTACCCGCTATCGGAAGGAGACACTAGAACCCAGTACTCGGACGGGTCGACGTTCGTGGGGCCTTTGAAGGATGGGATGAGGCACGGGAAGGGTTGCTACTTCTTTCAGGACGGAAGCCGGTGCGTACCATGGGGATTTCACGTAATCGTGTGTATCTACCAAAAATATGAGCCGCCTTGCTGAGCTGCGATTTCCAGAGCCATACGGAGGTAGCCAAGGAAGCGCATGTCGTCAAATATGAACGCCTACTCCAACGCTTGCTTTGTTGTGCTCAAGTGTCATTGACTGCGTAAGACCTGACCCGTTGCCTGGTCCATGCGCCCTTGCCCTTCTCCTCGTTGCTCATGATGGTCCCCGTCGGTTTTGATGGCTTTTCTTGTATCTTGGCTTGTTGTATGCTATAGGTACGAGGGATACTTCAAGGGAGACAAACGCCACGGAGAGGGAACACTCAACCTCGCCAGCGGGGGAAAGTGCGTGATCTGGTTGTTTCTGACTCGACATGCTGATGGATGCGCTCTTTGCGCTTTTGTAAGCAGACAAGCCAGATCGGGCTTACGTGTGCCAACGCAGTGCACTAGTATTGACCGCAGATGGTGTGTGTTGCATCAACAAACAACGTGCAAAAGTTGCGCGGCCGGTCTGTGTTTCCTTTACCTTTTTTGCACATTCCTGCATGCTGATCTTGCGCGCTTTGATGAATTGAACGCAGATACGTCGGCCATTGGGAGAATGACTTGCAGCACGGCGACGGGACATTCTACTTCGCCGATAGCTCTTGCTTCAAGGGGCTGTGGGTGCAGGTGATGGCGACGACGTTGCATGGTCAACAGTGTCGTCATGACGTGCTGTGGTAGACTGCTTGCCGAGTCGGTAGCATTCGATCGCTGCGGCCATACGGGTCGAGACTACGGACTACAGTACGGTTGCAACCGCGCTCAAGTCCTCAGGCAGACGCCTCTCGTGTTGACATCCGGTTACAAAAGGCTGCTGCTGCTGCTGCTGCTGCTGTACTCGGCGCACCACCTGAGACCTTTTTGTTGTTCATGCCGCGCCATTTGTCCAATCGTAATCATGTGCTCCTCAGGGTAAGAAGAAGAGTGGTGTGTTCACCTACTCATCTGGCGGGCGGTATATCGGGGAGTTGCAAGCAGGGCGCCGACACGGGCGAGGGTCTTTCCTGTATCCTGACGGCTCGAGCTACGAGGGACAGTGGCAAGACAACTCGAAACACGGTGAGTTAACCGGAGTTGGCGCGCCCCCCAATAGCGGGCTTTGTTGGGGTGTCCGTGGGTTTATTCTTGTCTTGTCGTGCTTTGTCGCTAATTTACTCCTTCATCCACGGTTCCCGTCCATTGCCCGAAACATTTGAAACAACCTATGATGCTAGAGTACATGCTATTTACGACGGTGGTTGTAGCGTGCAACACCTTGGTTTGCGGCTTAAAATGGAAGCCATTGTCCAGACTGTAGAGCAAGGACTCAGGAGGCACGAGCCAGGACTAGCACTGTTTTGTAGTTCCTTATTCCCTCATCTGAACTGTTTGATTGTCTTGTTCTTCCTTCCATTTGACAGGGGAGGGAACCGCGTGGTACGCCTCAGGCAATCGTTACGTGGGGCAGTGGCTCTATGGAAAGTCGCACGGGGAGGGCACGTACTATTACGCCACGGGGGCAAAATACGAAGGGCAGTTCGATGGTGGCAAGTGCCACGGCCGCGGGACCTACTTCTACGCCAACGGTAACAAGTGAGTGGAGAAGCACCAGACGGAATGTCTGTGCCACGTTTTTTCTGCTTTCCATGCCATGCGTACATCTCTTTCTCAACACCCTCCCCTCAATGCGCATCTGATGCTAGCTATGCCGTGCTCCATCTCTTCCCATTTTGTGTGTCTTGGATTTGTTGGACCCTCTGTCCCACTGTCGTTGAACAACGTTCTGTCTTGTGTTGCCTCTCTTGTCTTGTCTCTAGTATCTTCTTTTTTTCGCACGCTTCATCTTTGACTAAGCGAAACGCGCACACGGGTTTGGTTTCATGTTTCTGGTCAGGTACGAAGGCGAGTGGAAAGACGACATGAAGTGGGGGTTCGGGACAGCCGTGTACCTGAACAAGGCTCACTATGAGGGACATTTCTTCATGGACAAAAGGCATGGCTTCGGGAAAATGCGTTACTCCAACGCAGGAACTTACGAGGTCAGTCAGCCAGTCAGTCAGTCAGTCAGTGTCTAGTGCGTTTCGACTTCCCCACGTCAATCGGAGGAATGTCGTCACTTGTTCAGTGTGCAGTTGCGTGTTGGCCAAAACGACCCAAGGAAACCGACCATCACGGCCTTGTTGCGTCGCTATTCTTTTGTCTGGAACTTTTGCCACTGCAGAGGTAGCTTGTTCGCTGTTCTTCGCAGGAGATGGATTCTCTCTGTCCAGCATTTTTTGTAGTATTCTAGCGTACCGTGGCCGTCTTCGGTTCAATCGTGTTTAACATTGCGCTGTGTTGTACTTCTATGCTGCACTCCACTCCACTGCACTTGTCAGGGCGAATGGGCCTCGGGGAAGCCCCACGGGCAGGGTACCGCGACGCACAAGGACGGCGAGAAGTACGTGGGAACCTACAAAGCCGGCCTCTATCATGGGGAGGGTGAGTATTGTACTACCCCCTCAGCCCCACACCATGCCGCACTCGTGGTACAGCTTTGGCAGTGTGTCGAAATATACTGTGCAGCTTGTTTTCCCTCTCGCTACAATTTCTCATACGCAACGTCGGGCGGGTGTTTGCCTCATACTGCGTGTTGCTCGCTGTATCCACTCTGCTGCTGCTGTATGACATGCCATCGCGAAAATATCTGCCTTCTTCATTATGGCCCTCCGACTAGGGAACCCCGCAGAATGTTGTGTTGGCGTGTTTTCATCTGTCTGTCGGCTAGCGCACTCGATTTCAACTAAACGCACCTGTGTACATGCACATCCATTTTTTCCATACAACTGTACTGAAGAACGTTGATGTTTTCGGCGTGCTCAAAGTCGACGTCTGCATTGCAACATTTCAACGGCATTGTCTGGTGGCACTTTCTGAGCGGCACAACCCCCTGATCAAGATGAGCGGTAGTACCTACTGTAGCATGGGCGTGCCTCTGACTGACTGTGTTTGTTCTGCGATCTCTTCTGGAAGCAGGGTGCTACTGGTATTCCAACGGAGCGGTGTACGAAGGGCAATACCGCAACGGGCGCGTCCACGGCAAGGGCCGAGCGACGTTCCCCTCGGGGGACAGCTACGCGGGGGAGTGGCGAGAGGGTGCCATGTCGGGTACCGGTGTGTACGAGTTCAAGGAGGAGGGGGCGAGGTGAGCGGCCTTCTCTTGCATGCATATGCATACAGTCAGGAATCACGGCGATGGCGAAGCGATTCTTCAACATTTGCCGAGTGTTTCCTATTGAGCGTTTCGTGTACCATGCTTCTTGTACTGCTGCGCCTGATACTGCGTGCCTGACTTTCGTGTCTGGCGACGGTGTGTGTTCCGGGTTCCGTGACGAAACAGACGTTGGAGTGAGTTCTCTTGACCTTGAATCCTCTCGTACATGTATTCTGCTGACGTTTCTGTTTCAGCTACGAGGGCGACTTCGACAACGGCAGAATGCACGGCGTGGGTGTCTACCGCTGGCCCCACGGAGATGTGTACCGAGGCTCTTGGCAGAACGACCGCAGGAGTGGACGAGGCCGCTACGAGTGGACCGAGCTTGGGCTGACCTTCGAGGGTATGTTCCACGATGATCGCAGGACGGGCCGCGGAAGCATCATCTTCCCTGATGGTTCGAGGTGAGAGCCAGCGACATGGTTGAGGCCAAAACGAGGGTGTGGGAAGAGGGGCGGTGGGGCGAGATGCGTCTCACCACCCCACCCCCTACAGCGATGCGGTACTTTGAGTAGGGTCTCTCTTTCCGTGGCGTGGGGAATGATGCCGCACGGGGGCGCGTGTAAATCAGGTAGGTACCTACCTTTTACCGCACAATACGGGAATGGGAACGCCCAACGTTTGGCCATCATCGTATTTCTCCTGGTTTGTGTGGCACCCGCGTTTCGCCGGAAACATGAACGTTATTGAGTATACGCCGTTGTTTCACTCTCCACGCTTTTTTTGCTGCGGGCCCATTGGTGCAGATACGAGTGCCAGTGGGAAGATGACAAGGCGCTCGACTCCACGGCGCAAGGGTCGCGAAGCGTCCATTACCGCGCTGACGGCACCGAGTGCACGATTCAAGGCGACGAGCTCAGGAATCTCATGAGACGTATCAACGAGCAGCGTATGATGGTGAGAGGCCCGATTTGGAGACATTACATGTAGACATAGAAATAGAAACTGAAAACATGCATGTCATCTTGTTGATTTGTTTGTGGAGAAATTTGTGCGGCTTGTGTTTTGTCCGCATCGCATGGCACTTTCTAACTTGATTTACTGCCGGACGATGCCTGGGAACGGGCCAAGTATGTAGCATGGACTCCGCAGTTGTGCTGTTTTGGCAGTCTGGCAAGAAACACATGCTCGTTTTTGGGGGGGGGATTCTGCGTTCTCAACGCGCCTGTACTAAGTATGTGACCTTCTCCCCCCCCCTTCCTTCCCTCGATCCCCGCGCTACGTCGCATTTGCCGTCATTTTCCTTCTACGCAATCATCGTTTTCAGCAACCTGTCACTCCGATTGTCAATCCTGAAGCTGAGCAACCGGACCAGCAACTCACTGCCGCAGCCATAGCGCCATCGATCGCTTCCACGGCGGAGTCGGTGTCTGATGTCTGATGATGTTTGATGCCCAGGGCATAAAGTCTGTGGCAACGGAAGGTATCTAGATATGTTTTCTTCCAGACGGTGATGCGTGTAGGTGATATCCTACCATCTTGACGCGAAAGTAGAACGTTTTGCTTGAAATATCAAGTATCCACGCGTGAAAGTATCATCCAGTTTTCAACGGTGTTAGAAGCGAAAGGAAAGACGACACAGGGAACGGAGGGGAGGGGGGAGGCGTTGTGTGCAGTATCAAATGTGATATTAGCTCCAAGTTTTATTGGAAAAATTCCAGGACGGGGTGTTTTGAAAGCGGGGTATTTATTGTGGTCCCTGTGGTCCCCTTATGGTGATGTCGTTCCTCGCCTTTGACGAGGGTTTTAACGGCTGTATGGCTAATGGCGTGGTGTGTCGGGGGGCTGGACGATCAAAGATCAAAGATGGAAGATGAAAAGCAGGGGGCATGGGATTGTGGGTGGCTGCTCTGTGGGTAAATTAACAACGCTCTTTCAATCGTAGGGTAATGGTAAATGTACGATAGAATACCATGAGATACGACTATAGGATGGGAAAGAAGCGTGTCGATCTCGAACGCAGTCGGTGTGATAGGTGATAGGTGATAGGGGTGGCTGATGCGAGGGGGCACACAGCAAGCAGTTCCGATTTTGTGGTGGAAGGCCGCGAGATTATGTGTGCGGGGAGTGGAGGGCCATACCGGGGGGAGATTCCGCTGCCCTTGACATACATGTCCGCGATTCGTGAGGTGGGCACCGGTGACACGGAAGGTATTGCGCGCCGACGCAAGATATGTAGTCCGATAGTACGGTAGATTGGTGATCTCTGCTAGAGTCACTGCTAACTCAATGGCAATGGCCGAGAGTATTGCTCTGTCTTTGCAATCATGTATCGCCTTAGTGTTGCTCGCGCCTCTCGAAAAATCGGCGGCCGCACGCATGCAGCAGGCGTCGTGAAATCGAACATTCAAGCTGGGATATATGGTTGAATGAGGGGAAGGGTCTTGTCCCTTTTCCAGCAGCGACGTCTTGATCTCTCTGTCCATCGTGGACATGTTTTTGAGGATGGCGTGACCGAAGACGAGGGCACGGAAGGTGCCTCGATCGACGCGCAACTACCACTCTTGTGCAGCTCTACTGTTTGGGCGTTGTATGGTAATTGTTTATTCCACCCTACAGGCGTAAGCTTGAGTGTAGTGTCGGAGATATGTCCTTTCGTTTGACGAGTTGTTTTGGAGCTAGGAATGGTGAAGGGCGGACAGGACGCTTCAGAGGCGGTCCTGTGGACTGGCCCTCTGTTTCCTCTGCTGCTCCTATTTGTTCTAGTGTATTCGAGAAGCTAGTCCCTTCCGTGTTTTTCTCCCTCCGTTCGAAGGTGCTGTCCCAAGCGGTGCTGCACCCCCTTTCCGACCGCCTTATTGGTGTACGTCCGTGTTTGTTTCCTATCGCCGTTTTTGGAGCCCCATTTGCTGTAAACTACATATTCCTTGTGTCGTGGGGTGCGTTTCTCGAGTCTAAAAAGTAAATAAAATTTAACCCTAATGCTGTAGTGAGTAATCCAGCGGTATCTGCTGTTGAGCGGTTTGTTATAGTCGATCGGATTTGCCGCTTTGGAGGGCGTGCTGTCGTCAGCCCGAGCAATCTCTCTTGGGACGAAAGAGCACGCTGCGGGAGGAATATTGGGATATAGGGTGGGGGAAGGGGTTAGAAGACGCACGCTGCATGTCGCTAGGTATTTAAATGTCCGTGACCAAACGCCAGACGATAAGTTGAGAGCTTGTTGGGCGTATTCGCGGGCGAAGAGGGGAGCGGTCGGGAGAGCTTCACATCGGAACAGCTTGGTTTCTGCTGTAGTACAAGTCGTTCGCTTACGGAGTTCCCCGCCACACACACACCTCAAAGCAAGGAATGAACGTGGTTGGTTGGGGGTCCCAAGCAGAAGTGCTGACGAGAGGCACTTGCGGGAGGCAGGTACAGCAGTGTAGGTGGGTATTGGTAAGGAGGCGAAGTTGAGTCACCGGTCGACTGGGGGGAGTTTGATTGAAAAAAGAGAGGATGTGACCAGCCTAAATGCCGACGTCAGCGAAAAGTTGCAAGCATGTATTATATCGATACCTGATTTACTTTTTTTGAACTGTCTTGACGCTTTGATTGTTTGGCTATCGTTGTTGGTAATATATGAACTTCGTTGTTGGTATTGCAGATAGCTCCGCAAGACAGTAGTATTGCGTGCCACCATTTCCTAGACTCGACTGTACGTTCCTTACCCGCTGGGTTGTTGTTGCTGAATGTCAACCTTGTCTGTTTGGAATGCGGTGATCGCGCACAGGTTTTTCTTGGGTGGTTTTCGGGGAAGTTCCGTACGTGTCCCTCGTCGCAGCTTGTTTCTTGCTAAGGCTGTCTGCAGAAGTAGTCTTGGTTGCTTCATTGTGTTTTATTTTGAGCTAAGCCTTGGCCAGTAGTACATCGCGCGCGATCGCACGATTCTTCTGCAATGTATCCTACTCCACACGCGATGAGATGGGGGCAGCTGCGTGTGTAGAATGTCATATTTGGGGGGGCGGGGGGGGGGGCTGAAAAAGTGTTGCCCTTCCAGCGATTTGTTGAAAACCCACACACTGTTTTGTCTGTACTACTACTGCTTGACTGTAGTAGAATTGTTCTTGTATCATGCTTGAAGATTTAATTTATTCCACGTCGAGAGTGACACGTATTGAGTAGATTAAAAGTAGGTGGTGTTTTCCGTACAAGAAGAAGTCAAAGGTGTCCTTAGTAACCCTGAAGGTCAAGATCGATTTGGGTTCAAGTGCCGTTTTGAGGCTAACAGCAAGCTCTTCTGGGTGAGTTCGAGTCAGTTGACCAAGGAAACAGGGTAGCTAGCTAACTCATGGTACGGTTGGAAGGCAGCGCCGCGCACAAGCAAGCAGCTTGTGTTACTCAGGATGACTGTAGCTCCCCCCGTCAGTCGAGAGGGCAAGACCGTATGGTTAGGTAGAAGATGGGGGTGCTTATTAATTTAGTCACAGTTGTGTGAGGAGAAACACGATCTTGAGATCTCGGCTAAGGTGGTTGCAGCCAGGTTTTCACACGTGCAGAATTGCTCTGCAGTGTGTGAGGGTTTCTGTCGTTGTTGCCTCCACACTCCACACTATCACAACAACACTGGTGAGGCACGGAAATGGCCGTGGTCACAAGGTGACAGACGAACAAGTGAGGGTGTTATAATCGACGTGCATAGATCCAGCGACCTTTCCGCCACTCTCGCGTCTCACCTGCCACTCTGTCAAGGATGTGGTGGCGTAAGGTACTAGACTACTGGTCGCACGGCTGTTGAATTGATTGACACCTGAGAAATAACAGCCATGCTGGTCCATCAGGTAGTCTATACCTACAGTTTAGAGGTGTCAATTTTGGAACACCCCCAGGCTTCCTGGGTCGATGACAAGCTAGCTGCCGGGGAGCATCACTCGGGTAATCGTGTGCTTTATTTCCGTCTTGCTTGGCACATACTGCGGGCCCGTAGAGAAGAAACCTCCGAATCGGGTCTGGGCTCAGTTGCTTATTTCATCGCCGCTGTCGGGCTCAGATTGTTTACAAGTGCTACAGCAGTTTAGTGTAGGATCCACCGCTGAGCTATGTTTCTTAGTCCTATTTTCTTTCTTATTTTTCGTGGAATATTTGAGCCTCTGTTGTTCCTTAACGAAACCCAACCTATTTTCGATGTCGACCAAGTGTCGACTGATTTTGAAAGAACCGCAAGAGCACCAGAAAAATGCACGCGAGGCACACAAGGAAGAGCAGTCGGAAGGCATCGGGACAAACAGAAATAGTCGATTCTCGCACCGGGCGACAGTAGAGGCTGCTCAAAGCATACAAACCATGAGTCTACCCTCACACGCCCCCTTTGAAATCAAGACAAATATTATTCACACGATTTAAAATTAATTCTAAATTCAAGTCAACAGAGCCACAACGGCAGGCGCTCAAATAAGGCCCGTTTAGCGTTCTAACTGCACCTTAGTACACTTGATATCACTACAGGACACCCTATAGCAGCGGGGAGGGTGCGTTAGCGCGCTCAATTCTGCTTCTGTGTTGGTGATATCGAGGATCGATCGTATTGTAGTAATCGTCTACTGCTGTACAATCTCCGCAAAATCTCCAAATTAGACCAACACCTGCAACACCCAATCACCAATGAATGTCTTGTACTGCTCGTGCTCGCCGCTACTACTGACCCCAACCCCTGAACTGCGGGACAGCAGTAGCTGATGTCACTAGCTACTGCTGATGACCCGCCGTTCAGGGGTTTACGGTCCGTGGTGGTGAGCACAAGCAGTACAAGACACTGGGTGCCGGTCTAGACTATAATTTGCGGAGATTTGCCAACAATAATAATAATGGTAAGCACAGGCCATTATTACAGTGCATCAGTACGATCGATCCTCGACTTCACCACCACAGAAGAAGCAAACCTAACGTGCCAGCACGTACGAACGCCTCTTCATGGTGTCTTCTACTGATAACAGTGCTAAGGTGCAGCTAGAGAAGGCGGTAAGGTTGCGGGAAGGTTGCTTTCTCTTTGTATATTGGATTAAGTATAGAGCCAGCGTCAGAGGGGCCCGTTCCTATCGCATATCATAGAAGTATGTACATGATGTTATAGCAGTGTCCATTGACAAGCGCACAGAAGTCTAAGCAGTCAGGATGCAGTGACTGCGACTGTGGTGTTCAAAGTGTCTTGCGTGTCAGTGTGCCAGCAGATGCAACGATGCAACGATTCAACGAACCAACCTACATGCTGCAATTTGGTACATTGGTACCTACCTGCTACCGGTTGACGTTCCGCTTGAATTAAGTTGCGCCGCAGTGAGTGCCGAAACGTGACAATTTAGTAGGCAGTGCTGGCATAAATTGTTGTATGTATATGTTGTACGCTTCTTTCCCTTTCTCCTCTCTCCCCTCTCCACCTTGGTCGCTCTCTTTCTCTCTCTAGGTGTTTCGCTCGAGCTCCTGTCGCTAAAGAATCTGGACTGCTGTGGGCTACTGGCTGTTTGTTTGCCCGCGTCGAGAGGATGCCGATAGGGATAAGTATTGAGGCGAGTGTCTGTCGCTGGGAGGTGACAAATAATTTGTCGTTCGGAACGAACTCCATTGAGATGTTGAGATCGAAGGCCGATGCCCCAGGAATACATGTGCCGATGAAATACGTGCTGAGTTTCGCTGAAACACACTTTATGACATTCCATACTGGAGGCTCTTCCCACGCGAATTTCGCGCTATGTATGGATGCCAGACAGCGTCGGTCGTGCAAGGGAGTTCTACATAATTACACCTTTCGTTAGCCAGTGTCGTTTGATTCGCTTCGTGTAGCCTGTCGGAATACCTCGGGAGTTCTTTGTCCTACGATGTACCAATAGTGTATTCTAGTTGTTGATTTTTGTTGAAAAGCACGGTGATAACCACTGGACGGCCAGTCAGCGCTGACTGGTACTATTATTGCAATTGTACTGTTGTACAGTAGTCCGGTGGTGGTGATCGTGCTTTTCAAGTTCTCGTGCTCTTTAGACGACGCGACCCGGTGCCACAGAGTGCGGGGCGGCAGCATACAGATAGCTGCTGGTCCGATCGAGCTAAAATATTCTCATAGCTAGCTGTGTCTTGTAGGTCGAACGACGTTATTCCCAATGTGCATGCTGAAGCTGTAACAAAGTTCGAGCTTTTCCTGGCGTCCGGCGGATTTATGAAATGTACACGGTATATTTTAACTTACTATCTCGTCGTCGCACATTATCCACTATGTTTTTGTACGTGCGCCTCTTGCTCTGTGGCGAGACTATCCTGCTCTTCTTTGTTTGGAGCACTGGAATTGGAGTACTGTAGTATCGTTAGGCATCCGGCAGGACGATAGAGGGGGGGGTCGATATGCGTTCGTTGCTCTCTCCGCGAACAAACAAACGGTGTGATCTACATCAACAGGATTGCGGTCTCGCCAGGTCTCGCCAAGGTTGCGTGGTACACACTATCTACACAACTGCCGTATACTGTAGACCACACGACCATGGTGCCGCATTCCATTGAAGCGTTCCACCTTTCGGTCAACCCTATAGCCATTTGTCCCGTGGTCCTCACGGGGATGGTAGATTTTTCTTACGACAATAATAACAGTCTCTCTCGCAATTTCCATCCATTGCCAAACGCCGACATTCATCCATTGCCAGTCCTTTAAAATCTACCATCACTGTCCGGCGTATCAGAGAGGGGAGCTTAGTTCTTCTTGTCCCGCTCCGAAAACACCTTTGCCTGCTGTGTCCTCCGTTTCTATCCCATGGATATTCGAGGTCGCAATCTTCTACGAGTCGAAATATCCAACATCGTCACAACAGTTCTGCCACCGTCGTCCTCGAATATTTTCAACTTTTCCACCAACGCCCTTACACCACCAGAAATTGGGGGTTTGTCTTCTTGATCTTGTTCATCTTTACTCTATGACACTACCACAACGCTGTTACGAACGTTCATCGTATGTTTGAAGGAATCAGTCGCTCGTGTGTGTGTGGTGTCTGGGGAAACAGCTGCATGTCTGTGGGATGCTACATACAATACAAACTCTAATTTTGTTCCACCCATGAGACCAGTGCACGAGTGAAAAAACGTGTGTTGAGGACTGTCTCCCTTGCGTTGTATCGTGATGGGTACACATATGTTGTTGATTGCGGGAGGAACTAACTTTTCGATGCGATCTGGATATTGATTCCGGCTCGCACTGAAGTTAAGCATCATTTGCAGGGAGACAAGCGCTTTCGTCTGCGAGCTATAGATAACACATCTCAACATATACAGCAGTGTCGTGAGCGCGTGTGTGTGCTGCTCTTAAATAATCACCCGATAGGTGGCTCCGGAAGCAGCTCCCGGTCGTTCAGAAGTCGACATGTCATGCTACACGAGTGACACCCTCGCCGGTGTGCTCGAGACTGGCATCAAGGAGGTGGGTCCCGTTCTGAAACAATGCTAAACCTCACTTAGGTGCTCAGCCGCATTCATTCTTGGACGACATCGTACGTGACCGAAGGTACGAAATAAGGGGTCTGTCGTGCGGCACTGGACTTGTCACAGGACGGCTATGATATTGCAAACCTTGCGATCTCTCTGCTTCCTTGCTTTCATTGTTGCGTCGGCAGCGCTACCGCCTTCAAACCCAGGTTCGAAAACTGGGCCAGGAGCTAGTTGCCCTTGCTCAAGAGTCCGGTTGTTCCTGGAAGAAGAAGAACAACAACAAGAAGAGAGGCCATGGCCATCGACATACTCCGATGCGAGTAAGCATTGTGACCAAGGGGCGGCCTTCTTGTGGCCAGTCGTTGCGCATCCGAAAGAGCCACTTTGAAGGCACGTCCGCCTCTAGCAGCGTGGTATCTGACAACGGCGCTGGACGAACTATTGCCCGGGGGGGAGGCTCAGGCAGAGGCCGCTCTGCTTTTCGCGAGGCGCTCGACGAAGCAAAAGAGCAACTCGTTCATGTTCGGCGGCAACGCGAGCGGTCTGAAGGCGCGTTGCCGCGCAGGACCCGACTATCTGTCCATGATGAGTCTGCTAAAGTGTCGATTTCTCACCAAGAAATTGACCACAATTCGGGAAATAGCAGTTCAGGGGAAGAAAAACGTTCTCCCCCGAAATGCGTCGCCAATCGCTCGGGAAGTGAAGAGTCGTACCTCTCAGACGGATATTCCACTCGCAAAAAAGCTGGGTGCAAAAAAGAAACTGCGTATCTCGTGGAATTGAAGGGGCCTAGGCGAAAAGGTCGACCAGAGGAAAAGCGGCCTTTGCCACGCGGTACGCGGCCCGGCAGAAGCAAAGAACATGGGCACGACGATGAATTTCGCTGTACCTGGCGAGGCATGGATGTCAGTTGTCAAGAATTTGGGCGCAAAGGTGAAGGCCCGGGACGTTCGAGTGGTCGAGGAGTAGCAAGTCCGCGACGTGTGGAGACAGCCTGTGTCGAGGCCACTCACGGTAGCTCTGCGGAGGAAGATGTCGAGATATGCCTCAAGTTAGAGAGAAAGACTAAGGGCGACACGACCAACAAAACGGACATCATCAGCCGTAGAGGGAGGAAGCAAGGGACTGCTGCAAGCTCATCGTTAGATCGACGGGCGAAGAACACAGCAATTAGAAGCTCTAGGTCAGAGAGGCCGGAGCAGAGTGCACCGAGGGCAAGCAGAGATTGTTCTCGTCCAAGGGCAAGTCTCGACCCGTGCAAATTTGAAGCTAATAGAGGGAGCAAGGAGAGCGTTCTAGACAACGGGTACCTGCACGCTCGACAGCGCGAGGGAATGGTCGGGGCATCGCTGAGGAGCTGTGCGGGCGAGGAACGAATTGGTGAAAAAGAGGCGGAAGGGAAACGACCGAGTTGCTTTGATAGCACCCATCATTTGAACGGGACTCTTACCTCAGATGTAAAGGACGAAGAGGAGGGATGCTTCGCCCCCCAAACGAGGCGCGGTGATTGCGACTACCGTGGGAAGTGGGTCCGTGACCACAGCGAGAGGATCACAGCGAAAAAGAAGGATGTAAATGAGGAGAATCACCATCGCGAGCGGTGGAGCACCCGGGGACGGGTGTTGTGGGCTACACACGCAGAGCCTGCAGCGCGAGCGACTTCCACCGACGCTAGAATATTCCCTCGAGCGACGATGCGATCGTGTTCACAGCCTGTTGTTCGGCCATACAATGGTCTTTACGCGAGGTCTCTTCAGGCCAACGGCATCGAGCCTGCCCACTTCCGGTCGTCAAGGTGCTCCTGCCATACTACCGAGCACAGACAGATTGATGGCTCAGTCCTTTGGCCTGATCGGGAGAATGCGGCGCGGACTCGGTCACCGGTCGACGGCCTTCCCGACAGGCTCGAAGCAGGTCGTGTGTTGGACTCGTTCGAACGAAGAGCAGAGCTGCTGGGCAAGATGCCGCCTACAACGCTGCGCGCCAAGACCGCTTGGATGGAAAAACCGGGCGACCCCCAGTACAGGTGTGTTAACGGAACAACGGCGAGGAGAGATTCACGTGCATGCCGTTACGCTGGCGTCCATATAGCATTATTTTCTTCGCTGTGTAGAAGTGTGCATATCACAAGGAGTCTTTGCCCAACTGCTCAAACGATACGATGCCCGATGGTCGACGTACTGAGATAATGTTTTGTTGCCCCTTAACAGATAAAAAAACGGAGTTGTCGCCGGTTGAGTTTTGTTTTAGCACACGTCTAGACTCCGGAGGAAGACGAGCATGTCGACCTTCTTCGCACTAATCTACTGTTGTACTACTCCCGTATGCGCCGTGGCGTCACTCATAGCTATGTTCGTTCCCGTTCTGACCTTTCTTCAACTATTTGCTCAAAAAAGTCTACGGGAGAGCCAGGACGGACTGCTTTCCTCGTTCTGCGGGACTTCCCCTGACCGGCGGTTTGCAATGTACGCGTCATGCGCCGGGAAAGCCTATGTCCGCCCCTCAAAGGCAGAGGCGACGACCTTACTGGCTGCATCATCAGGCGCCTGGAGCAAGCCATTCGGGCCAAGTCCGATGAAGCACTGTGTTGGGGCAAGAAGAGAAGTTGAGGAGGAGGTGCCTCTCTTTCATCGACGGAAAGTGGCCGGCACTGGGGGTACGTCCTTGGCAGAGGCTTCCCCTTGCAACTGCCAAGTACGAGGGGGTTGCTCACAGGGGATACATCCAAGCCTTCAAACGCAACCCCTGGGCGCTGAATCTTGCGGGCACACCGCGCGTGTCGATACTGCATGTAGTGCGTCATGTAGGGGGAATTATATCTCATCTGCTGGGGAATCGGCGCGTCTCATCGGTCGTCCTGCGATTTGACGAGCTGTGGTGCCAGGCGATGAACTGAGTTGTCTACAAAGCTATCCACGGAGGCCACGAGCGATACTTAGGAAAATCGTCAGACCACATCGAACAACCGACGGAAACGGCCAAGACTATCGATATATTGGGGTGGAGCGAACGGGACGGGGGGGGCGCCACGTGCTGCACTAGTGTCGTAAATTGAAGCCGAGAATACCGGGGTTGTGATGCGCATGACCCCTCCCATCCGCTGAAAAACGTGTTCGATTTTTTTCCACGCTTCGCAACACAGCTCTTAACTCTGCACGTTGGACTAATGCTAGATACTTGTTCGTGTTTTGAGTCACACGAGACGAAAGCGTCAGGTTTCGTTTGGACGAAAGACTCCGCTCATGCATAACTTCTTGTGTTGTGAGATAACACACAACGTTTGCAAAAAAACATTGTTGTAACCTTTCGGAACACCGAAATATAATACTCCTGTAGTATTGAAAACCAAAAGAGTAGTTCGTACTGTCTCAGTCGCAACTTCCTCAGACTTGAGTATCTAGCCTCTTTCACCGCCATTTCACTCAAGCGCAACAGACAACCAGCAAAGCACGGACGCACACGTGTCAACATATGTCTTGTCTGCCCACCTCCTAGATAAAACGGATTGGGCCGCCAGAGCAAATAAATGTAAACGTCAAGTACACAGCTGGACTTTCATAAAACGTCGGGGTACTCCTACTGAAGGACTCGCAACGTCTGAAATAAAAAAATATACAACAGGCAGAAGCGAATTCCAACAATTGCGCCCAGCATCACCAAAAACTCTACGAGCAAAATCGATATTGTCGACAGCAAAAACGCCGACGAGTATCGATGGTGCCTACAAAATGTAGACTTTCAAGTACAACGAAATCGAACAGCAAATACGATGAGACCAACGGGGCCAGAAACAACTGCTCTTGGCGAAAGCAGGCACTCTTCTCTGACAATCTCACCCCTGGCCTGTACCGCAGTCCTGGGATATCGTACAATACGTTCAGCGGCATCCTCTACCAGATTCATAATCGCAACAAAGATTTACTCTCTGAGTCGACCATCATCCCCATCCGAAACCAAAACGCTGACGCGTCCACGTCATATAAAAACTGCCGGTACCTGGTAGGTCAGAGGCGGAAACATTAATAGTGCCACGAAAAAACAAGAAGCCGATGAAAGTGACTCCGCAGCATGCAGCAGGAAAAAAAGTTCGAAAACAACATGTTACGATCCAAAGCCCGAAGAACGAACACAGGCTTGAGTCCAGCTAAACACAACGCACCTTCCCCAGAAAATTCGTGCAGCCAACGCCCTATGTCACTGGCACCACAGCAGGCTCAGCCGCCCCCCCCCTGGGCTGAACCGCAGCCCACCACGCCATCGGCCAGCACCACCCCACCCTACCTTACCCTCTGAATTTTGTTGATGCTGCGGGCTCTCGCTCGCTGTCATCCGAGCAAGATATACAGCATTGAGATTTAACACGTTAAAATCAGCATCAGACATTGCCCCCCCTCGCTTCTCGCAGTGTGTCGGCTTGGCTCCCTTCCCTTCGGCCAAGCAGCCCACAAACGAGCTCGCGTGGAAGGATCCTGACACGCGCAATCAAACTCATCATCACCATGAGGTGCCACAAGTAGCAAGCTCTTACCCAAACTTACGTGGCCAAAAACAAGTGACACTCACTCCACCGGGACAACCACATACGGAGTGCAGTTGCAGCAGCAGCAGTACAAGTACGAAGCGTAGAAAACGGATCAACCTTGTCGCCATGCTGAAGTTAACATATAAATCAGCGTCACATATGGTACAGAATCTGCAAGGCATGAACAGATCAAGCGCTGCGCGCACGGGTACCGGCCTTCGATGAGAACAACAGATTTGTCACAAAATCTTCGAACCGCCAACCCGGTGGACCACGCGAAAATTATTGGCAAAAATAACTAGTCGGCCACATTGTCCTCAAACGCCCTCTTGTAACTCTGCGCCACAGCTAAGAACAAGACACACTCTTCCAACACCCAGACAAACATTAACATTTGCCTTTGCCTTGGTGGACCCGAGGATCCGACTGATACAATTAAGACAAAAAAAAATGGGAAAAGAATGCGTTACAAGACGCGCCTTCTTACACAAGAAACGACGGACATTGACAAGACAAACACAGGAGCGCTGCATTCGGCAGCTGCTCCCAACACCCAAACGTTGCGTACAATAACGCCACACCAACACAAGTCACGGCCGCAGCTGAAGGAGGAGGGAGCAGCCACGACCACGCTCCAGGACCTCCACACGATAACCCAAGTCGGAGGCGGCTGGTGGCCTACCGCGTCGGTACAACAGTTTATTACATGCACCACTCAGATAAATCAGATACCAGGGGGGCGCATTAATCAAAATCAAAGGATTCCTGAGGGGATACGGACATGGAAAAAGCGGACGAAGCTCGTCGATCTTCTGCACACACACTGCAAGCGAAATGTGAACAAAATATGAACCAGTCTCTATTTGCGCTTCGGTTTCCTGACCCTGAAACCCTCCCCTCGGAACCGAGAAAAAGACATACTTGTACCCTACTGCCAAACACTAAACTATGCGCCTGCTCGCTCGTCCGTATGCCACCCTAGGCAGACACGAAGGTGTTGGACGTGGCGGAGAAACAGAACAAGACCACATGAAAGCAAGGGACTGCGACATCGCTCTCCACATTTCTTGTGCTCCTTCCTCAACCTCAAGAGAGACAGACAAATAGGCCATCAACACCAACACTGCCCCATCACCACTCATTTGTATAAATAGATGCGAAGTGCGCTTCAGAATGAACTTTCCTTCCTCACAACTCCTCCTCGCGTACCTCATTCCCTCTCCTTCCTCCCGTAGTTTCGTAAATAAACACCGTAACAAGGAATCATTTCAACGACAAGTCTGCGAAATGTTGGACGCCAACGCAACGACATCCCACAGGCCACAGCCCGAATCCCACATCCATCACTCCCGGAGGTGCAGGAACAGCACGAGTTGCATCAACTCCTCTCTGACCTCCGATACCTCCCTCGGCGTTGGTCTAGGTGGGAGGTCGCCTTTGCCGCTGCCGAACACTTTGGGCAGCAGGGCCAGTTTGGGTCGATGCTTTCTTGCCTCCATCTCCAATTGCGCCATCTCTCGAACCTTCTCGTTGACGCACCCCCTAAGGAACAACAGGGTCGTATTCGCACGCATATAAGTGGGGGAAATGTTGTCTTAAGTGGGGTTATGCTAAATAAGAGCAGTTAAGAGCGATGAGGTGAGTCCGTTCGACGTAACGAAACGAATGACGGTATGTCACGGTATGACATCAGACAGCATCCATCAATATTATTGCTGAGCCGATGTCCTCGACCTTGGTCAAGTGTTGGGCGAGGGTGAGCCCCCCCCCCCCCCGACAAATTCAAATCCCCGCTACGGTATGTAATTAAGAGACTGTTGAGAAACGTTGAGTACTGTTGAGAAACGTTGATTTTCACAAGAGTTCAACAAGTTTGTCCTCGTTATGGCGGTCAAACCCTGTGGGGCACATCACGGCGGGTTTGTTCCAAATAAAATATGCATACTCGTTTGCGTTGCTTAGGGCTGGCCGAGTTCCCGTGTCCTGACGACAATTTTCTCCGGCGCCTAGAAGAGACTTACGACAGCAGTGATCTTGTACATGTATGTTAGCGGTCTGTGCCTGTCAGTCGCCCCGCTGTCAATCACACACCAACACCCGCGGTGGATAATCCTAAACACTAAAAAAAACGGAAATCACATAAAGCTGCTGAGTTTGTGTCTTTCTTTGACTTGATGAGGGGAACAGCTGAAAGACATCGTACGAGAATTAACAGTAGGGCCATCAGAGGCGTAGGGGTGTACGCGTGTCATCTTTTTTCGGCAGCGTACATAAACGTCTCGAAGAAAACACACCGCGGGAAATTCGTGAATGGCTCCATGCGTGGGAAGACTTTGCAAAGAGACGGGCTATTGTCTTTTCGCTGGAGGGTCCCTGGAACCAAACCTCGTGGGCATCACTGCTGTTCTGTGTTGATGTCCATGTGTGTCGTTCTCCGAGTGTCAATCGTGTGTACAGTCAGTAGTGTGTGCCTTGTGCCTGTAACGAAACAGCGGGGCTGGCAGCCCACACATCAAAACCTACAGAAAAAAGAGTTTCACGAATCGTTCCGTGCATTACAGTAACCTGCCAAGTACTCGATGAACCAGCGTTCACGAACGGGCTGGACTGCCGTATGCATTTTCAGATTCGGGGCTCGCATTGGCCATGCTCTCTCTGCACGGACGCGACGGAGCTGGTGGTCGACCTCGCTAATAAAGGCATGTCTCATACCAGCATTAATATGCGCGTTTCATTTTAGGGGGTATACAAAAACAATTGAAGAAAGACTACCCGCTGAGATATAACCACAGCAGTCGAAGAGGATGGGTTGAAGTCTGTCTTCATGCGCCCACTGGCGAGACGACGTAGAAGAGAGTGCCGAGCGGGAACGGCCCGGACAGCGACGGGCGTGCGCTCGCCGCAGGAACCAGGTCGAGCGAGAGTCAAGAGGAGGCCGAGGGATCGACAGAGGCAGGCTCCAAAACGAACGACCTCTACAACTGCTGTTTTGTATGCATAGTAGGGCCACCAACGACCTGGTGCGGCGAATTCTGTTCGCAGCACAGAAACACCTGAAACACTTTTTTCGAAACTCAACTACAGTACAGTAGTCTACCCGTCCGAGACATCACCACATGAGTCGAACTCATGTCTATTGCAAATACCGGTAAATACATATTTGTATGCATACAATAGCCCGACGTGGAACACGAACGGGTACTCAGTACTCAGTCGTTGTTGGATCGTATGTAAGCATACCTGGTGGCATACGTAGTATTTACTCACATACAATTACACGCAAGACTATGCATACAACATTCTAAAAACTTTGAACTTCGATGTTCTGAATGACACCATCATGCATCATAAGCATACGGCGGTTCCATCAACTCGGACACAACCAGACACGCCCAGGGGAGTACTGCAGTAAGGCGCCAACACCTCTTGGCCCAATAAAATGGATGTAGACATACATGTGTAAACCCGCCCCCCCTGTAGATATCTATTAAGAGCACGGGTGCACTTCATCTTTTCACCACAGGACGCATGCGAGATACAACCTGCGCTGCCAAACAACCAAAGGGCTCCTATAAGGTGGAGTACATCGTCGACGAGAGTAGGAATCCTGTGTGACTCAAGCCCCGTCAAGGCTTATTTATATATACATATGCATACGCAAGCTCCGGACACGGGTGTTCGCGGTAAATGTATGCATGGATGCATGGGAAAGTTCTGCACACAAGGCACGCAAGAAGAATAGCACGCATGTTCACATGTTCATGTTGAGTAAGATCAAATCTCACCGGCCGCCTCGGATCAGAAAGTCCCGAATCCACGTGCGCGACGCCGCTCCCGCCATTTGTCGGATCGACTTGAGGTCCGCCAGAGGTGGCAACCCTCTGGTTCGGAGTAGAACTATGGCTTGCTCCGGTGTTGTGGGCTTAAGCTCGGCGTTCTCTTTGTCGTTCCCGGGCGAGAGCGGCGGAGTCCATTTGAACCCCCCAAAGCTGGGCGCTCGTTGGAGTCGCTTTTGCTGGTTTGTCGACGTCCCTTGTGAGAGTCGGTTGTTCTGGGGTCGGGGCGCATCATATGGTCCAACAAACAGCAGCACAGAACGAGACGAGCCAGAGGAGCGGGGAGGGGGATCTTATGGGCTGCTGTGGAGGTCAGGGCGGTGGCAGAGGGGAGGAAGATCCAAATCAAGCGAAGAGAAGGGCGGCAAAGCCGGAATGGAAGGGCTGGCGGGTGGTGTACACATGCACGCCGTGTCAGAAGGACCAAGGGGGTGCTTGAAATATGAAACACTTGAACTTCGATCACACGACAGCACGGCCCTACAAAATAACGGAACACCGCAGGGTTGTACAAACAAATCGAAATCTTCGGCCTACTGGGTGTAAGGCTTTCCATGTGCGCGCGAGTCTACACATAACCCCATTACCAATCACACCTTCCATTTACCCATGCGTCGCGCGTGAAGTTGTGAAGTTGTGAAGTTGAGGGAGCCTTTCGAAAGTCATCCCGCCTCGGTGCAGTGAAGCTGCATGTACACAGCAGGTGCACGCTGTTTAGCCAGGACTGCTGCTACTGCTGCGCTACAATTTCCCAAAGCTCCTCTTCTGCGCGCCATAGAAAGCCTTCTCCGTGTAGTCGGATTATACCGTGCAATTGAAGACCCACCTGGAAGGCGCCCAGAGATGCCGGAGATGATGTTACCCGCCCATTGCTTGCGAATGCAAGCAATGAACGACGACGGTGGGGCCGCTTTTTGGTGGACAAGTCGACTGCCTTCGACAGGAGTTGCTCCATGCGTGGTCGGAAGGACTGCGGTCACAGATAGAAGAGGGATTGAGAGAGGGAGAATACGGCACCTTCGGTCGTCGACCGCCTGGTTTAGGCGAGGTAGGTCCGTCAAGAGACTCTAAACCCCCAGTGGCACGACCCAAACCAAGATCTATCTGCGTCTGCGTGTCTGCGTCTGCTTCTGTGGGGAGATCAGATTTTGGAGATTCGAGAATTTCACATCTTTTATTTTTTCATTCGTGGGGTCTCCGCAAATCGGATAAAATCCTCGACCCTTTCGACCCCCCAATTTGAGAGGTCCCGTGCTTGGAGGTAAACACGGCCAGCCAGCACCTGCCAGCCAGAAAGGCCGGACAGAGGCAGGAACACAGCAGTGGGGGCGAGAGACAGAGATCATGGGCAGAAAAGCTAGAGGTGCAGCAAAGGAGAAGCGTGAACCTGCCCATAAGATTGATGGGGATGGGATGGAGCTCACGGCAGAGGACGGCCAGACCACAGGCGGTGAGTCTAGCGCAAAAAGCGGATGTCGTCGTGCCCTGTAATCTGCTGTAGACAAGAATGCTGTGATGTAGACACTTTGTTCCGTCTCATTGTACATTCGCTGTACAGTAGCAGTAGTGTTGGCTTCTTCGTTCGGCCACTATAGAACAAAGGATAGGGAGGGAGAGAACAGATGGCTCCTGGTGTGCCCCAATGCACCAGTCACCAACTGTGGAGGGTGGGCACATCTGCAATGATGTTGGCGTATTGCGCGGCACTAGTTTTTGTTCGCATGCGTAGATACTCCGTCTCCACACTACGACCAAGAGAGATGTTCCACTTTGCCAGCACGCTTTTTCCCGCAGGCATGGATGTGTGTAAGCGCTCGTGATCTAACGGATTTCGCTAGCGAGGTAGCGGTTGGTGTGAAGTGATGTTCAATCTACTACGATGTTCTAGGCGGCGTCCTTTCCTAACCCAACATGTATGGACAACAGTCACGGATAATAGGTCTCAACACGATTTGAACGGATTGTTCCTAATGCTGGATCACTCGTTGCGACACAGCAGCCAGACAACAGCAGACAACAACCAGCCGCCTTGGTTTCCTAGTCTAACGAGAAGCATCAATCCGACCGCGGGAAAATGCTGTTTAGTTGAGCGGCATCCAGGTGGAAATGACGCCGCTTTTCCTTCAAATTGCAGTTTGCTGTGTCTGGTTGCGAGTTTGGGGCGAATGCTTTATCCGCAGCCGCCCAGCCTACACCCAGTAAATTGACTGCTGCTGTTGTAGACACCCAGGCTACCGCTGTTTGGATGCTGCCCAGTAGCGAAGGTCGTGATGCCGATTCTCGAACAACAGGGCATCGATGTGCTTTTGTTTCATGAAGGATCACTCAAGTTTCGACAGCATCGTTTGTCATCTCGTTCATCTTTCTGCGTGGGAGCCGCACGAATCTCATGCGACATGCATACATTGTATGGTAGGATGAACAACGACAAAGGTAGGCAGTTCCTTGCTAGATTCATATGCATAGAGTACAATGCAAGCCTCCGTTCGCAGGGTGCAGACGCAGCTAGCTGTCTACAGGTTGCCACGACGCCTCATTATTTGGCTAGCGTTTACAGCGGTGTGCGTGGGGGGGAGTAAGTTGCTGCAGGCATTTGCATGGATCGACAGACGTTGTGTTTTGTCGTGAAATGCGGACAGGATGCCTCGCAGAGGCACGGGACGATGACCCACCTCCTTGTTTCATCACAGTAGATGCTCTAGAGCAGTGAGAATGGCCGGGGAGGGAAACACACGCCGCTATTTCCTTGGCGGTCGCATCAATGGCTGCTGCAAGTCTGCCAACTCAGAGACGCCATGCCCTTGTTGCTGCTGGGTGTAATTGGTTCGCGGGCATGACTACTATCCGTCTCGTCCTATGTATCAGCAGGCGTGACCTTTCTTTTGAACTAGCCCTATTCTTCTTGTACTGTTCGGGAGACAGTTTTTTTCTCGTAAGATTTGAATCGCTTGCCTTGCTGTGCATTGATGAGTATCATCTTGTTATCTGCGCAGGCGCTGTCTAGTCGATTCACGTGGCGCGAAACGGTGGACCTTTCACGCAGCAGCACACAACGCTCACCTTATACAGCAGGATTTGGGAGGTTCCACCAGTGCAGAAACGTACCGGTATTGTAGTCACTTGCGGGGGCATTTCAGGTAGCATACATCGCGGACCTCTTGGGGTTGTACCACTGCTGTCTCGCTTGAGTTGTCAGCACCAACCTGGATGAAACCGTTCGGTATCTGCAGTATCTGCATACTCCATGTTCAACCTCCGATTCCCTCCCCCCACACCCTTCCTCTTCGCACCCAAACACGCGCTGCTCTAGGCACGCTCCCTTCAACCACGGCCGCCATCGTAGTGGATGCCGAAGGCCAATCAGCGCCAGAGGCGCCGGTTGCATCGGCCGAATATGATGCCAAAGGCCGGCCGTATCTCGAGTCGGAGAAATGGCAAAAAATGGGAGGGACGGGAGATGACACGCCGGGAGTATTTGCCCGGATTTTCTCGGGGTTGTACGGCGATCTTCCCATGTCCGACCGACTCCGTGTGGCGTGGCTGGCGGGCACGCTTTTCTTCATCATCGGAGGGTGAGCGGGCGGATTACCAATATGCTGTAGCGGGGTTTGGGTACTGATTTTTTCTCGTTGGCGTTGTTGCTGCTTACTGCGTTTGTCGGCATGCTTGGACGGCTTGGTGCCGACGGACATGCTGCTCCCTATGGGTGCTGATTAGGCTCCCTCTGCAACGTTTGAGCTTGTGTGATTTGAAGCGAATTTTTTAGTGACAGCATTCATCTCAATGCCCTTTGACCCCTTTCCGCCGTCGCCAACTTGTTGTCGTTAGGTACTGGCTGCTGCGATCGTTGAAGGACCCCATTGTTGCTACTATTGTTGGCGTCGACTTCATCCCGAGGTGCAAGATGCTCTCCCTCGTGGTGGTCTTTTCCCTGGTACGGTACGGTATGGTGGGATGTTGCACGGTGTCGTACGGTATTTCGAGAGTTGGGAGACAGACAAGACATATTGATGCATGGAGTACGAACGAACACCGCGTTGTGTTGAGAACCTGCTGCTGTTATAGTTGTGGATATAGGGTCCACTGCCGCGAGGCCATTTTATTTTTAGCGACTCTACTAGTGAGGTACCAGTAGACTCCAGGGCAGGTGTTGGATGAAGTACTTCCAACACGTTGAGGCTTTTGCGTTCCTTCTCTGACCGTCCACTGATGTGGTCCTGTTCTTTTTTGCAAGGCGTCCATGGGCGAACAAGCGATGCATGTGTTGTGCTGTAGCGTAAATGATTAACCACAACTTTTGGCCCGCGTTCAGTTCCCCCCCCAACTGCCTGCTTGCTGCACGCTGCCCTTGCATTCTGTAAGCACGCGATACCACGGAGCACATCTGCGTTTTATGAAATTGGAATGGATCGAACTCTCTTTCGTAGTGGTGCCACTTCTGTCCGACTGTCTCAACCTCATTGCCCGCGTTACCGGAATGCATGCGACGGGCCGCCGAACAGGTCTTCGTGTACAACAAGTTGGTTGATATCTTCCCGAAGCACCAGTTGTTCTACATCATTGGAGCCTTCTACTTCGCCACCTTTTCGGCCATCGCGATCGCCCTCGCCGACCCCGTCATCGGAGTACAGAACAAAAACGCCAGCCCAACACGCCTTATCGGTAGGCAACAAAATTGTCCTTTTCTACCCACGTGTGGTTCGGTTTCGCGTAACCGTTGTTTCACCGTTCTGGACACTTGGTTCCATGCCCACGACATACGGTGTCTTTGCCGACAGCGCGATGCGGGAAGTCGGAAGTATTGATTGACGTTGTGTTCGTGGATCTTTTTTTCTCGTGCACACACATTTACGCGAGATTTGATTTGATTTTAACCGCGGAGCACGGGGCAATTTTTTAAGTGCCATGTGAAGAACATGGCCGTTGCCGTCGATACGAGACAATGCGGTCGACAAAGGTAAATGATACGGAGTACCTATATTGTACGAAGCATTCGCAGCAGTTTTTTTATGCCACCGGTTTTGTCAATGCTGGGGTTACCAGGTTGCTGGAAGTTTCTGTACCCACTTCCAGCAGTAACTCCCTATTCTCGTGTGCTTTTCGGGAGCCGCTGGTCGTCTGAGAGCCGAAGCAGCGAGCAAAACCCCATTACGACGGAATTTTGATCGCATCCCGATGGCGTGACTTGCACACGTAGTATGGTTGCGATAGTTGCGGTTGACGAGGCAGCGAGTTACCGCCGTTCTGGTTGTTTTTGTTCCTTATCATGCGGTCGCTCTCGTCACCCCCCCTCGGTGTTGCCAACACTCTTTCCAGGCTGGATATCGTATTGCGCGATCGAATCCTTCGGCAGTATCTGCGTATCCCTTTTCTGGGCCTTCGTTAACTCGTCGGTGAACGTGGAAACGGCAAAGTCGGCCTTCGGCTTGATTATCGCCGGGGCGAACCTTGGGTCAATCATGGGCCCTACTCTAGCGGTGACAAAGGTGAGAGGTGACTTGGATTGAACTGCAAGAGAAGACAAGACAAGAAGAGAAGTACAAGTGCTACGCTTGGTCGTGTCTTCATTTGGAAGGATGCAAAGATCGGTCTCGTTTTTGGTCGGTTGGTTGTTGCCACAGAGGTATGGTGGCGCATCGTTCTTGCGCCACTTATTTGGGTCATAGGTCCTGCGGGAGGGGGTTGACTCTGGGGATTTTTTTGTGTGGTAGCAAGGTGGTTCTCTGCGGGCGTGAATAGTCGTATGTGTCTGCCGTGATGCCCTGAGCGACAAGCTTCCTATCCGATAGACTGCGTGGATGGAGTTATGGTACCAGTAATGTCTTAAAGATGGAATAGGCATGGAATCACCTGTCCAACCGTATGGCTACAACCGTATCGATTGCCACCCAGCGCGTCGACGCGACCTGCTACGCTACTCCATGGTCCATGGTCCACCTTGCGGCATATCTGTAACGACGCCGTTCATGTCGCTATGATATCTGACAGGCGGATTGGGGACTCCCACGCTTGTACGGGTGTGGCGCCTTGTGCATGGGTCTGATGGTGCTCATGGTGTGGGGATACGTGCGAAAGTTTGGCGTGGAGCCTTCCCTGATGAAGGCCAACAGCAAGAAAAAGGTACAGATCGTCGGTGCGGTGTAGACTAGACCAGAAACAGGCTTGACCCTTGGCACCCCTGCACTGCTGTATCGAACACGTGACGGTAAATTGTTCTTGCTGCTTTTGGCTCTACCCTTTCAGTTTGGTGCACATCACATGATGCGTTGGTGGTGTTGCCTTTGTTGATGCTTGCCGGGTGTCGGTAGGGCTGTGATGTGATGGTGTGCTTTCTATGCACCGCAGGCCTGCACGCAGGTAAAAGACGACAGCTAATCACCAGGAACCGGTCACATGGTATGGTTCGTTTTGCTGCACACCTGTTGCTGCCGGAAAAATGTGCGAAACTTGTCGTTGGCGTTTCATGAAGCCATTTTTGTAACCTTGCTTGACGAAAACGTGGCGGTTGTCGTCGGTCGATTTTCCGCCGTCGGTGATTTGGTTTGGCTGGTCAGGGAGCCGGGGTGCTGGAAGGATTCCAACTCTTCCTCAAGTACGACTACATCAAGGGCATCTTTGCCATGTCCTGCCTTTTCATGGTGGAAGTGACCATCCTCGACTACACGATGAAGGTCAGAAGGCAATTTGCTTCAGTCAAGATGGCATGATAGCACGGACGGTACATAGTCCAGCACGATAGCACGCTTACGAAGGTTGTGGCAATGGACACACGTTCGTGGGTGCAACTTGGACTTGGACGTTTGCTTGTTTTCGTTTTTTTCCCCGCTCTATAATATGTGAGAGTGAGTCCAATCACGGGGGAGTATCACCACCGACTGGAAGGAATCAATCGTCCCTTGTGTGTATTACCGCGGCTGTCGTTTCGGTTGCGTGTTTCTTGGCTCACTTCAATATGTCGGCCTCCTCTCAACTCCGCCTGCATGGTCTGAAACCGTTGTTGTTGTTGTTGTTGCACTCGCTACATACTTTTTTTTCCCGTTGCCGTGGAGCAGAAGTTGGCGAACGATGAGTTCGCCGCCCTCCATCCTGGCGACCAAGATAGCGCGACCCGCGCCTTCGTCGCCTTCACCGGCATGTTCGGACAGGTGTGCAAGGAATGCTAAGTTTAGTCTCAGTCTTTGCTTTCGACCACCAAGAACCGTTTGGTAACGATGCTGCACTGCTTTACAGGGCGTCGTAGAGCACCACCCGGGTTGGAAACTCTGCCCTGTCCATGAGGTCCATCAGAAAATCCGAAGGTGGCTTCTGCCTTTCTTGTTTTCAGGCAGTTCGGCCAGAGGAGTAAGGAATGGCGTACCCAGCGTTTCAATAGCAACCAACGTCGAGAACGCACGTGATCTCCGACACAAGACTTAAGCCTTGTTTTTTTCCTAGCGGGGTTGAATTGGAGTGGAGCATGTGTGTGGCCTTTCACCCCGTTTTTTCTCTCCCCTACGTTTCACGGACGGTGCCTTGAATGGTGAATGGCCGCAGGTTACGAACACGATATCGTTCGGCTTCTCGCTGCTGGGCACGTCCATGGTGATTCGTCGCCTAGGTCTCAAGACGACGCTCCTCGCTTTCCCCTGCATGTGCTTGGCCGTGGTCATCATGGTGATGGCCTTCCCACAACTTTACGTGAGAGATCGAGATATGCGGTTGATTTGATTTGGTTGATGGTGTTTGTCATCTGTAATGTTGCCGTAGCTCTATTCTGTACGAGTACGGGCACGAACAGTTGCCCGTCGGGTCTTGGTACCAGACTCACGCGGCGTCACTAACGCGATGTGTACATGTGTGTGACCATAACATACATCGGAGGGATGTCGGTTCGTGCATGGGAAAGAGGATTGATGTGTCTACTGTACGAAGGAAGAAGTGATGAAATGTTTCGACGGGATGTAGTTCGAACCGGCACGTTTGTTTGCTACGTTGATATGTTGGTTACTGATTGTCACTGTATTTCTGTCGCTCTTCTTTTTTCACAGCCTGTTTTACCGCATGCTGGCTTTTATCTTTTATCGCAGCTCGAAATGGTCTTGTGCAGCATGTCGTTTCCCCTCCTTCTCCTCCTTCTTGTGACTTGTTGATGCACATCGTAGCGCGAACAATGTGTTCCTGTCTTGGGCAACCCCCCTTATGTCCGATCCCATCCCCAACACAATATGTTGCCTCCCGTCTCGCAGGTGGTATTCTTAGCGTTGATCTTGCTCAAGGGCTTCTCGTACAGCCTCAACAACCCCTGCAAGGAAATTCTGTACCAACCCACCAACTCCGCTGTCAAGTTCAAGAGCAAGGTGAGATGCCATGGATTTTTGAGGTGAACGGAAGGTGACAGGTGGACAACGACATTCCTTGGAAGCGACCACGCAAACAGCGATGATGCTGGATATAGAAGAGACGTGGGAATTGTCGTAAATCCTACTTTTGACTTTTTTCTGTGGCGCTCAACAACTCAGAACAATATTATAAGGAACACGCAAACAGCTCTACACAGGCCACCTCCGTATCCATTATCCAACATACTGTGCCTGCCGTAGACCACGGTCTGCCCAGGTATGCTTCATATTGGTACACCCACAACCCCTCACACAAGGTTAATCCATGTTTCCCGTTTTCGGCAGTCCTGGATTGACATCTTCGGAGCACGGATGTCCAAGGCCGGCGGATCCTTAGTGACGGACGCTTTTAGTTCAAGTATCCCGGGGCTCATTCACGTAGGAGGGTCCGTCGCCGCTGGTGGTGCAGCTTTCCTCATCTGGGTGGCGTGGGTGATGGGCAGGAAGTTTGACCACCTCATGGAGACTGGGGAGGTCATCGGCGGGGATGGCGAGGTGAGCAGATAAGAATCGATGGGTGTAGACTTGTTGTGTTGGACACGAACTTGGCGACTGACCCTGCCACGCCTCACTCGCTCACCCTCTTCGAGACAAGAAACCGTACGTGCTTGTCTTGTGCACGTCATTTGAAGAAAAAAAACATGCTTGTGCTGGCAACACCCGGTGTAGGATGGGAGATGTTCCAGCTTTTTCCATGCACCCGTAGCGCCAAACGTTAGGCAGGGCGTCTGTCGAAGTGACAGCAGGGGAACGTAGCGTGTGTTTTACGTGTCGTCACGCAGCCTCTTGTTTACTCCTTGTTACCTCTGGTGAAGGAGAGATTGCTTTCTTTGTTTTCCCGTATGCATACCACTTCCTGCCGCACCTTTCGTCGCTTGCTCGGCATCAGAGCACGGAGCCAACACTGGAAGCCTTGGCTGCGAGTGAAGAGGCTGCCGATGCACAAGAGGCGGCCGACACGTCTTGCGGCGTGCTGGAGGAGGGACAAGCCGACGAAGCCTTCTTGGGGGAGGAAGGAGGGGCTGCCGGAGAACGTTCAGAGAGCAAGAACTCGGTCGACCTGTGATGACGCAAGAATTGTAGTGGGTAGCTTGCCAGCTTCGTTCATGGCGTGCTTTTGTATTTCGAACCGCTGCTGTGTGGGCGAACGGGAGACACCGATGCGTCGTGTCCGCCCCGCTTCAGATCCTCTCCGAAAGGGCAGCTGGTTGCCGAATACTGGTTCAACATCGCGTGTGTACCAGACACCGGCCAGAGTCGGCGCGCAGTAGGGGGCTGTAACGAGGCTGTAGCATGTTGTGTGCGGTGTGTCAGCAATCAAGGAGCTTGATTGGTTGCGGTTGAGACACGACATTGCAGAAATGCGAGGTACCCGTTGCGTTACCTTGAAGATGTTGAAGGCATGGATGGCGCCACGAACCCAGCAAGGGTCTTCGTCTTGTGAAGCTTGTCTTGTGAAGCAAATTGCGACAACAGAGGAGAACGGCCGTGCGCGCTTCATCTCTTTTCAGTCTTTTCGTGTGCAACTCTTGTGTTGTTTCACGAGAGGCGGCAAATGTTTGAGACACCGGCGTGGCAACAACAATCGAGTGAGCGACGACTGCTGGTGCTAAAATAGGAGGATGGGGGGGTTTCGTGTTTCGGTGGTCTGTTGTGTCTTTGGTCCTCGTAGATGGCAGCTCTAATAGCATATGTTTGTCCTTCGTGACGACGAACTGATGATTTCGTGAAGTAACGTCGTTTAACGGCACGATATGGATGTTTCCTGGCAGTGTCGGCGTAGGCCCGTTGCTTAGGTTACCCACCAGCCTTAACCCGGGCGGTCTTCAAGTATATTTCCTTGGGATATCATCCTTCCTAGACAGACAATATGGGAGATAGCGTGTGGTCTCGATGGGCTGTATTCCGACCATCTCGATGTGGCATCATCCACCAAACCGTGCTTCACGCGTACTCTTGTCGGACCCATGGCATGGTTGCGTGGGACCTCTGGAGAAGAGATCTGCACAATGCTGCTGCTTGCTCACAATTTTCCATCTGCAATCTTCTTGCGTGAGTTTTGCACGTGTCCGCGTTGTCATTGGGAAGTTCAGAGTCTCGAAGCAACCTGAGGTCCAATGTCCCGTTTCGCTCTCTCCCTGGTCGTCAAGGGCTACAAGTACGTCACGGGGCCAATCGAACGGCAGTTATCACAGGTAGTAACACAACGTCCATTATCTGTCCAACAACACACAGATTATACTGAAACATGCAACAGCTTGAAACTCGCGTGGAGCCGACCGAACACACAAGAGACAGGCAGGAAAGGCTGACCGCACAAAACAGCACACACGGCAAGTGAAGCCAACCATACACACCCATCTTACTGGACTCGGATCAGTTTCATGACGATGTTCTTTGTTCAATCTATTCCAATCACAATTTGACCCGTCCCCCCCTCCACCATCTGGCCGCCCGCCCGCCCTCCCTCCCCTGCCTCCTCTTGTCTCTCTCATTTAGGAATAACTTTATATTTGTTTTGAATGTAGCGACACACAGCGTCGACGGTCCAAGCGGATCAACATAACTTGTAGCAGCAACGCCTCTTCTCTTTCCGCCGGAAAACCCATCAGAGCCGATTCTTCCTCTACCCCCCCTGGATGCCGGACGGACTCGACCCGCTGTAATATTTCCACAACATTTCACGTAGCTAACGCCGCGCTACACCCCGGGGTGACCGACCGACTAGATACAAAAAGCTTTAATATCTCATCGCCGAAAAAGAGTCTCGTGTCGTTCCTGCTGCCATTGTGCTTTTCGCGCCCGCGCTTCCGCACCACGCCTCCCCCCCCCCCCCCCCCCCCCCCCCACCCCCCCCCCCCCCCCTCCAAAACTTTTCCCCTTTTCCCCAACCCCACCAAAAAACACCTCCCCCTCTAAAACCCCCCCCTTTTTAAAAAAACACCCCCCTTCCCCCCATTTTTTTCTTTTAAAAAACAATAAATAAAAAAAAC